TTTTCCTTCGCGTGTCCTTTGAGCCGATCTATTGTTGTCTCTAAGAAAATCCCTACAAAAAAAATAGTAGTAAACCATATCTATCCTTTGCGTATACCTTGATCCTATTATGTTCTAATTGCTGATTTTATATTTTTGGTTTGGTCTATCATTTGTGTAAGTGTTATACATGTTATAGTGTTGTCTTTGGTGAAAAGAAAAAAAAAGTTGCAAAAAAAAGGGACTTGAGAAAAGATTGAAGAAAAAAAAAAGAAGGAAAAGTGAATAGATAAAAAAGAACAGAGGTGAAAAAAAATTGTGAGAAGAGAAAGGTGAAAAGAACAATCTGTTGGTGTTATATGTGCTGAACCGTTTATGCCACCTTGCAAAATCAGCCGTTATCTACCTTTGGTGCAAATTTTGCTAGATCTGAAACGTAAATCATCCATCCCTAGTGTAATCCTTTGTTTTGCATCAAAATATCCTATGTTTCTTTGTGCGTGAGTTTGTGTTTCTATTCCAAACATTTTGGATCAGCACTAGGCATTGATATCTAGTTTGGATTGCTACTTAGCTTTACAACAACTAGAATTCAGATTGCTCCTTGTGCTTTATCCCCTACCAAGCTCCACATAAAAGCCATCGTGTACGGTTTACTGGTCTTGTATTCGCTCAATTATCACTTTCACTTTACCACCACACGGATTGCCTTAGTAACCTCATAAGAGCTTCGGTTGGTAAGAGAAGGTGAGGTTGTGAGAGTTTCCACATACTATCATATTCCACATATATTTTGCTACTTGTTTTACTAACCATGGCAGGGAGAATGTATATTCATCTTCCATTTTATGGAAGCGCTGATCCAGAGGAGTATTTTGGATGGGTAAATCAAATGGAGATTGAACTTGAAGCCCAATGTTTTTGTGAAGAGAAGAAATTGCAGCGTGCTACTCTCGAGTTGAAGGTTATGCCTATACTTGGTGGAAGAAATTTTCTCACAAGCAGTATGTGAAGTGTTGGGAAGATTTGAAGAAAGTGATGAGAAAGGAATTTATTCCAAAAGAGTACGAGTTGTTTTTACTTTGTTGTTTGAAGCATGTGAAGCAAGGAACCAAATCTGTCCAAGCATATTATGATGAGTTGAGTTCTTGCTTGTGCCGAGCAAATGCCATTGATGATCTAGATGCAATTGAGTATTTTAAGAGAGGTCTCAGTCCTAAAATTGCTACTGCAATTGAGGGAAGATATGCAAGAAGTGTTCGAGGTTTCTTGATCTATGCCATTAAAGAGGAGAAGAAAGTAAAGAAGTTGCAAGAGGGGCTTGCAAAATGTGCTGTTTTATGCCAAAATGTCCTCTCAAATGTGTGTGCTTCTACATCATACAGTGGGAATATTATTGCAAGAAGAAAAGAAGTATATCACCAAGTAAGAAGATGAAGGTTGACGATTCCACCCCCACGCCAAATTGTTTACGTCCATTGGAGAATACCATTGTTGATGGTGGAACTTTTGCTCCTGGTGTTCAAGTGGCTTTGGAGGAGGTTGCAGTTGACGACCATTGTTCTATTGATGCCCCTTGTTATGCTGATTTGGAGATGCAACAAAACCCAAGTGAGAATGAGAGCCACATAGCCAAATTGAGTGAAAGAGATAAAAAGAGTGTGTTGTCTGATTCCACCAAATATGAGGTTGAGAGCATCCACAATGAGAGTGAGAGAAATACACCACACAAAAAGAGAGGATTAGAGTGCAAAGCATGTGAGGATGTTTTTGATTCTAACAAACTTATCTCCACTTTTAGTGTTGTCTCTCCTAATGTTCAGGTTTGCAAAGAAAAAGATGAAGAGATAGTTGTCAACCCGATGAAATGTCAAGAAGATAAAAGAATTGAGAAGATAGACCTTATGGAGAATTACCCAACTACTGCCCTGAGTATTAACCATGATGATAAGGGAGGTAAAAATTCAGAAACGACACCCACATTCGATACGTCTCCACAAGAGCTGAAAGGTAACAAAGACGAATCATATTTCTGCAAGCATGAAGAGTTGGTGAGTGAATTTGTTGATACACTTGATCAACGTGATATTTTAATTGCAAATAAATTTGATCTTGTGGAACTGATTACTCATGATGAAGTCTTTACAAAAATATTGCCTGTTGAAATTTTGTGTTATATCATCCTCGATAAACATGTTGAAATACACGATATGCTTGAGAAAGTTTCTGAAATAGCTTCGCTGAAATCTTTGAATAGTATTCATGTATGCAAGTATACTTTTAATTTGATTGGTGGATATGCTGAAAATAAATTCTATATGTGTGCTATTTGCATTACTTGTGACAAGCTTGCTGATTTGAGGTTAAAATTAGTGAATAATCATGCTTTTGAACCTTCTTATGCTCAGCGTAAGTTGAACAAAATGTTTGGTGCTTGTTGTTTGGAACCATTTATGTCACCGACATGTGCATATTTTTCTTCTGAGACACTAAAACATAATGGTAGAAATGATGATTCTTTGAAAATTTTCTCATCCATGCTTGAAATGGTTGGCTTTGAAACTAATGAATTTGATTGCTCGAATATGTTGCATGATACAAAATCTTGGAATGCAGATTTGGTCGATGATGATAGGGATGACCGTCGGGTGGCAATACGCACTGCTCCTTTCACCGATATCCACCGGCAAGACACGAGGCGCCGTGCACAACTCCTTCCCCCCTCCTCCCAAAAAAAAAAGACGTGAATATTAGGGAAGGACCTAATATCAAATAATTAGAAGGGGTAAGGCTTCGAACCCAGTTCGTCCAGCCCACCACCTTGTGGAGCTAGCTGGTAGACCTCTGGGTGTTTCTCCACAACTCCTTCCCCGACCTCATCCTCCGTACAGCGTTGCCTCGTTGCACGCTACTCGCACCGCCCCTCATCGACGGGTAGTCCTCCTTGCTCATTCAAGAGAAAAGAAGAAGAGGGAGAGAGAAATCCCAACCATCAATGACGCCACGTCGGGCTCATAGCTCCATCGATACAACCATTGCGCGGCTTCAATCCATCGCCGCCCTGGCCGATGATTGTCGCCAGTCATCGACCACGCCGTCGCTACTACTTCGCTGCCCATTTCTAGGGTTGAGGAGAGAGGATGGGGAATGAAGGTAGGGACAAAATTGTACTCTCACATCATCACATCATTAATTTTATCTCTCCGATTCATCCGGCAATAATAAAATAAGGCCGTGGGTGTCCAGCAGCTAATTACCAGTCTTTTGTGATGTCCGACAGCATATATATATTCTTGCGATGTCCACTAGCTAATTACACGTTTTTTTGAATATCTTGTAGCAAATTTTACCTTTTTAATTTGGGATGAATTTATCACGACTTGACATCCCATGCCCACATCCAATGTGCTCTCCTTCTCGTACACCTGAACAAGAATGGAAAGTGGCCAACAACGTTCGCATGCCATCTCAACATATCTTCTCCATGTATCAGTGCAATCCATAGGCATAAGCTCCCAAAAATAACCTACAAGTTGACGGTTAACCAAAACATAAAGTACTATAAGGCCATGGGTCTGTGGATTGATTTTAAAGCCTCTCATCAGCCAGTTGCATACACCCCCGGAACTCCTTTCGACAACTCTATCAATGCCCTTAGTCATACTCTTGAACTCGAACATATCTACCTCATTCTGACCATATCTAATGTTGCCTTCACTGTAATACAAGTCGAATATCAGCTTACTTAACATATCTGCTCACAGATTAAAGTCTCGTTATAATATATTAAAATAAACGCAATTGCTATCTGTGTTGCTAAATGTATAAGTACCTAAATATGTCATAAGGTTACTACAGCATACATACGTACTAGATCTACACCCCTAGCATTGGATGTTATTACTAACATAGGATTTCTATACAAATTAATAAGTTGCTAAAATATTGTCCCTACTCAAACTTGCAATGCATTGAAATGGTAATGGAAAAAAAATTACCTCCAATCGAGTGTGCGATCCGGCAGGGCTCTGCTGCTTCCTTCTTAACCTTCCCCTTACCCCTCTTTCTTTTTTTTCTTGATTTTTATGAATAAATGAGAATTTTCAAGAGGAAGGGAGGGTTTTATATAGGGCTGTCAAAAAAGCTCGAGGCTCGCGAGCTGCTCGAGCTCGGCTCGTCCCTAAGCTCGCGAGCTTTTTTTCGAGCTGAGCTCGAGTTTCTAACGAGCCTAGTAATATATGATTTTTGTTGTTATTTAATAAATTAGGAGATCAAATATGTTATTTGTATGCCTTATATTGACATCATATATTTATTTTATTCTTTTTTCCTCTTCTATTAATATGATGAACTAGAAATTAATTATTTTTTAAAGATTATCTTTGAAATATATATTGTTTTCCTTGAAAATCAAGCTCGGTAGTCGAGCTCGAGCTTGGTCGAGCTCGAGCTTGGTCGAGCTCGAGCCGAGCCTGTCGGAAAGCTCGAACATTTTATAGGCTCGGCTCAAGCTCGACTCGAGCTTGTATTGAGCTCGAGCCTAGGCAGACGAGCTCGCTCGAGCTCGGCTCGTTGACAACCCTAGTTTTATAGGTGCGGGGAGGGGGGGTTGAAAAATCACCCTCCCCTTGGGCGGGGAATGGCCGGTCCCCTGGCCGGGAGGGGGCGTCGAGAAATTTTGCAGTGGTCTCCTCGCGGTGATAAATCGCCCTAGCGTAGGGCGAGAAGGGGCCGCTTGCAAAAATATCACGGCGCGCCCCTCTCCGCGGCCGCCATGTCACTCTTAGCCACCGTCCCCTAGGAAAATTTATATGCCCCGCCCTACGGGTGGAGTATAGTTTTGTAAAATTTAAAATGGAAATTTAATTTTGTAAATCTTTTCAAAAATAAATAAATAAATTCTTTTAATTTCAATGTCTGTTTAGTTTTGGGCCGGAACACCACCCGTTTGGGCCGAAAATCCAGCCCGTCTCCCACCATCGCAGCAACCGACGAAGTTCTCGCCTCCCCCCAACACGCGTGGCCACCTCCGCGGCGCCTCGTGTCATCCCCCACCTCCTCGCCTCTCCTCCTCGTCGTCGTCGGCGGCGGGCCGGAGCCACATGGGCCAGACCCTGCGCGGCGCCGCGGGGCGCGTGAGGGCCCCACCCACCCCGGCGCCCCCTCGTCCTCATCACCTTCCGCCTGCGCCGCCGTCGCCGGCGGGCGCTGGCGGCGCGGCGGCACAGGATCGTCTCCGTGTCTTCCAGGATGGTACGGCTTCCTTGCTGCTCGCATTTCGTTCGGTTCTTAGACGCCGTAGCTTGCTCTTCTAGGCAGAAAAAATGCTCCCTCTGAATGATCGCTACAGAGAGCGGGATGCTTTGATTTGCTCTACACTACTACTTATCAAAGATTTCTCATCTGCTCTAACTTGCGTCCAGGCAAATTAGTTCGTTCTTGAGAGGCCTCGCACCTTGTAATCTTGCTAAGGGAGGGGAGGAGGAGGGAGGTGCTAGGGGGGGGGATTAAGGTGCTAGTGGGACATGATGTTGATTATAAGCTCGAACAATATGGCCCTGGTTTTGATTCTTGATTATCTTCGGTCATGATGTGCTTAGGGATGTCGTCTGCGTGTTGTTCGATTGAATTTAGGTATTGTTTTGTCTAATGTAATGTTTTTGTTGCAGATTTCGTGAAATCGGGTACTGATCCCATTTGGGAAGCATATCCTCCTGGGCTCTCTATCGGGTCTCTTAATAATTGATAGATCGGTAGATATTTCAGTATTACAACCAATTATGTTGAGTTAAGAACATACAATTCCTATCCATCCCAAGCTAGTTCCGAAATTAGTCTCCCAAGTAAGCTCGTCACCAGTGCATGCTAATGAAGAGTTATATATAATTTTGATAACTCATGTGGGATGTTTACTGGAAGTAGCACAGTTTCCAGTTAGACAGCTTATTTCCAGCTGAGAGTGATGAGGGACGAGGGTCAATGTTCCTCCACAAATCATTACCGCAGCTTGCTCATCACATTATTATCTTAATATTTTAGAAAAAGAAGTTGTTGTATCTTGGTGGGTTTTACTGCTAAGCACTCAGCTTCCAGTCAATTTGTGGCCCTCCAGCCAAGTAAAAGGATTGCTCAACCGTCACAATGTAGCACTTTTGTGAACTGAGACCTGAATATGTTTTAGAATCATAGATTCAGCTAGGGTTTACTATCAGAAATTCATATTCCTTTCTAGGATTATTCATATTCTTTCTAGGATTAACTGTCTGGTGGGTCATTTGTTTGGGTTGAGCCTGTGTATCAGAATTTTAATTGATGGATAGGTGACTTCTCCAACACAATATAGGCAGCCCACAATATATGGGTTCTAAATCCTTGGGTTCAATTAGGGTTTATTGAGGGTTATTTTCAAGAGAACTGAAGGATACTTGAACGTTCTCAAGTCCTCAGCACAAGCTTGATTGAGATTTACCAAAACATTTTACATGGTTGTAGGTTTCAGATTGCTGTGGCCACTATTTTGCTTTGTAGTTTATGATTTTTAAAGAAATGGACTGCAGATGTCACAACACAACCAAAAGATGCCCCTGGTGTACTTAAGGAGCGTGATCCAAGTTATGATGAGATGCTTAAGCACATGGTTGGGAGAATCACTACAAAGCCTGGAGGAAAGCCAGAAATGGGTGAAGTAAGCCCTCTAACTTCAGTTGTTCCCCCATGCTGAAATTATGCTGTTTCCCTGGTGTTTTTATCTCATTACATGAATCGGTAAATAACCAAACCTAAAGAATCAGGTTGTTTAGTTTGAACGTAATCAAATGTCGGAGGATGGATACATCATACATGCTACAGCGCTTACATCTGAACCATGAGAATTTTCTCCTTTTATTTGAAACATCATTGCTGACATTACTTGCTTTTCCTGGTAACCATTGTATGGGGAAAAATTGGAATACTTTAGCCTGAAAATATTGTTGTAACAATATCAGTGTTCATGGGGAATAAATAAGTTTCATTATGTACTCTGTACTTGAATATCCAAATTTTCTTTGCATTGCCATACTAATTCAGGTTGTTATCCTTGTAGGCTTTCGTCGTAGATCAGTACAACAGGCCACTCCCAAGGGTTAGAACATCCAGACCTGAACCCGGGGAAGGCGGACACAGACAACTACCTCCAGGAACCATTAGCGTCGCTCATGTCCATGAAATCATCCAACTGTACCAAGGAAAGTCCAGTAACCACCCTGGCCCAATGAGCGTGGACAAGATTGCCTCAAAGTTCAGAGTCGAAGCCTCAGTGGTTCAAAACATCGTGCAGTTCGTCTCACTTCCGCAGGAAGAACATGTTACCAAGAAAGAGGAATACTGAGAGTCTATAGGATATAGCGATCTTGCAGGCTGTCTAACACAATTCCTTTGTTCATGTTTCCGAGTTTGTTCTGTGGTGGACTACTGGGAACACAATGTTTCGTAGCTTAGGTTCTTTCTTCTTGTTGTTGCTGCTGCTGCTGAGATAGTGAGATGAGATGATGATGGAACTGGAAATATATATGCTGTATGAATAAAGGTGAAGGACGTGTTTTGGCCCCTTGATGCTCAGGATGAGCATAGCTGCATAGGTTGTTAACTTGTTGTATGCTCTTTTGTCAGGTTGACATCTGCTACATCTTGGAAACATCATTAATTGGCTGTGTACTGAGAAAAACACCAAACGTAAATCCAGACTTTTTAGGTGCGTTATTCATTTTCGTCTTTTTATTTTTACCCAGCCATGTCTTGATGAATGCAACTACCAAATGAATTTTCATAGGAATTTCTTTACATACTGGTAGCTTGCAATTTCAGGCCTTTCTTGGAATAGCAGAATTGAATTTAAGGCCCTTTTGGATTGAAGGATTTCTTTTTTAAAAAAAACTTGGAGGAATTCAGTCCTTAGGAAAATCTTCTTATAAGCATCTTTGGTACAAATAAATATCATTCGCAAAAATCCTCTGGATTTGCTTCATATGATTCAATTCCATAGGAAACAAAGCATAAGCTTATACCTCGTGTCTTTATTTTCCTAGTGCAAACCATCTAAACTGACATTGATTTTCTCATGAAGATATAGATTTTACCTCGGTTTCCGTTAGCATGTTTTTCAAACTACTAAATGGTACGTTCTGTGCGAAAACTTTCTATATAAAAGTTGATTAAAAATATTAAATATATCCATTTGTCAAGTTTGTAATAATTAAAACTTAATCAATCATGTGTTAATAGCTTTTTTATTTTACTTGCACTAACTTAATTTTCATCTTCATGAGTTTCCAACACCACCATAGCATAACATCCGTTATTCATATTCATAGAGAAGGAAATTATGAGATAATCAACATCCAAGAGAGTTTGAACATAGGGCGATGTGTTGCTCCTGGTAGCTACCTACTAGCTAGGCTATGCCATGTTTTTTAAGATTAAATTGCACCCACGGTACACCAACTTAGCAGGTGGGTGCGATATAGTGCAAGAACTTGAGAATTGAACGTCCGGGTGCAACAACTTGACAAGTGGGTGCTTTCTAGTACAAGAACTTACAATTTAGTATTTTGGTGAATCAATTTGGTTAAGCATATGCTAGGTGAGGTTTTTCACGATGTCAATATGCCAATACACAGTAATCCTATAGATATTACATTATAATATTGAATGTAATCTTTAAGAATTATATTGCACATACAATTTACATATACAGTTACCTTTAAGAATTTTTTGTTTTCTTCACCTTCTCAAATATCAACCGAAATATAATAATTTCTACATCCAGTTTAATTGACTCAGTTATTAGTTATTAGAGTTATTAGTTATTAGGATAAAAATATAAATATGTTTATACAAATCCACGCTAGTATATTGTCAAGTACTTAAAAATTTGAATTTATATAAAAAATGCTCCAAATAATTAAGTTGTCACAACTTCTTAATTTATTGTATCAAAATCGTAGCTACCTTGCAAGTTGTTTCATTTATACGATCATCACTTATAAAGTTATTATACTAAATTGCACATTCTTGCCAAGTTGTTGCACTAGAAGGCTCATTTTTCAAGTTATTACACCAAATTGCACCCACCTGCTAAGTTGTTGCACCGTGGGTGCAATTTACTCTTCTTTTAATATAACGTGAAGTGGAAAAAGCACATGAATTCAAACACATAAGAGCTATGTTTTTTTTATCACATGAAGATTTTGAAGACAGATAGATATGAAACAAAACGACTTTCCATTAAGCTAAAACTAGATGTTTTCTTTCCTATAGAAATAGAGGAATTGCCACCTCTCCGAAGGAATCAAACTGTTCCACTCCTTTGTCCCAATCCTAATCTGAAACTCCAAACGATTGCACGCCTCCAAAATTTCTTGAAAAAATATTCGTTCCAAATAGCGTAGTGCTCCCTTCGTCCCATAAAAAACCATATAATATTTTCTGATACAATGAATTTGGGCATACCCCTATTGAGATTTACTATACTAGGAAATGGCACATCTCATTTTAAGTTGGTTTTTTATGAAACGGAGAAAGTATGTAGGATTAGGAACCCAAAAGGGTGTGAATGACATCATATTCCTATGTTTAATCAACTTGAAGTTGGTTGCAAACCCTTTCATCAATCAAAAGAGAAAAAAAAAAAGGGAAATTGGGGTGAAAAAACAATTAGGCAAGGAATCCCTCTCCCAAGCCGTAGGATCACCTCTCGCACGAATCACGAGGCGCATCTCTCCAAAGCCTCCGGCTCCACTCCAACTCCTCTCGCCTCCGCGGCTCCGCCCATTTCGCGGGTCGCCGGAGCAGCAGCAGCCGCCGCGCCAGATCTCGAACCTTCTAGAAGCTTCCGCCCGCTTCCACCCATCTCCCCCGAGGGCGCCTGGATCCCGAACCTTCTAGGCGTCGGCGGCCGGGGAAGGCGCGAGGGGAGGCGGACCACGGGATCTGCTTCGAAGCCCCTCGCCTCCTCTGGAACCTTCCGGGCGCGGCGCGGCGGGATGGCGGTGAGTTTCCTTCCTCCGCGCTGCGAGTTACCCGGATCGGCTTAGACGATGCAATTTCTAGGCGAGTTAACCAGGGATTCCTCAAATTGTTGGTGGCTTGCTGCTGCTGGTCTCTTCGACCATTGAACCCGCAGTTCCTGCGAGTTGATGATTTGGTTTTGGTTCCCCTCCTGGGCATGTGTGCTGCAATTAGAACTCAGAAATTTGTAGAGATGGTGGAGGATTGGTGGTATTTGTTCAAGGCAAATCTTAGCTACAGAGCATGCCACTGTTTGACCAGAATGTGTGTTTACCTGTCACGCAAGCTTGGTATTTGTAGCATTTCTGTTCATGTTGCTATCTAGGCGTGTAGAATCCATGAATTCAGTATTATTTGAAAGTCATTTGCTGGCATTCAGGAGAGTTTGAATTTCTTTTTTCTCTTTCTTTTTAAACCATGAATGATGTGTGTTCTCTTATAACCTTTTCACGTTTCATGTCACTAGAGTGCAAAAGTGTCGCACCCCGTTAAATCGGCCTCCGAGGAGTCCAAAGTACTCGTGGTGGAGAATGGGAAGATGGTTGATGTTCAGGACAAGGAAATCACCATGGAAGGCCTCTGTTCCATAAGTTCTTATGACCAGTGGGCACGGATCCCTGTTTCTGGACCGCTTCCGAAACCTCGCTACAAGGTCCTCCTTTTTTTACTTGCATGATCTCTAAATTCCGTCTAGTCTGTTGTGCTGCCATCGTCTTCTCTTGGTGGTTTTGACATGCTGCACTTATCTTCTACAGCATGCAGCTGCTGTGGTTCAGGAAAAGATGTATGTTTTTGGTGGAAATCACAATGGCCGTTACCTTGGTGACATGCAGGTATATTAGTCGGTCATTATACTTAATATGTTTTTTTCTTGTGATGGATTCTTGGTATAAACTTTAAAATAGACTCAAAATTCCTTATTTGCTTATTAATAGAGGTTAATTGTGCAAGTTCCTAACTTTACTCTCGAGCGTTGAGAATGATATGCATCTCAACAATAGTATCTTCCTTTGGTTGAAGGTTCTGGATTTCAAATGTTTATCATGGTCGAAGCTAGAAGCTAAAATACAATCAGAAGAACCTTCAGACTTGACTGGAACAGCTTCGCTTCCTCCTTGTGCTGGTCATGCACTGGTAATCACCAGATACTCTTTATAGTCAAGTTGAGCGGAACTGGATTTTCTCCCAGATAGATATAACTGTGTAGCGTATTTCCTTCTGGCATTTAATCTCCGCAGGTTCCATGGGGAAACAAGATCCTCTGTCTTGCAGGACACACAAGGGAACCTACAGAAAGTCTCAGTGGTTAGCCTAATATTTTGCTCCTTTTTTTCTAATCTTATTTTTTTTGTGCGAGTTATATTTCTTATATAAAATAACATATTTATGTCAGTTAAGGAGTTTGATCCACAAACTTGCACCTGGTCAACCTTGCGCACTTATGGCAGATCACCGGTACCTTTTTTTTAATCTATTTATATTGTCAGAAAGCTTCTAAAGTACTCGCTGCTTTTTTTTTTTTTGTCTAAGAATATGTGGCGGTAATCTTCCTTTTGCTTTAGAGCTCATGCGGTGGCCAATCAGTGACTCTTGTTGGAGGCACATTAGTAGTGTTTGGAGGTGAAGGTGATGGGAGATCCCTTCTGAATGACCTGCACGTTCTTGATCTCGAGACCATGACTTGGGATGAATTTGAGACCACGTAAGTTTTGTGATTGAAGCATGTTTTTCAGTTGTTGTAAAGTGAACAAATGACAATATATTTTTTTAAAAAAAAAAGTGATCAAAATGTTTATGGTCCTTAATATTAGGATTCTGCTGAATGACCTGAATTTTGTAACTCGTGTGAAAATGCTATTGCAGGCGTACTCCACAAGTTATATATTTTTAGGCATTAATTATGAAATCATTCTTCTAGTAAATTCATTACCAAGTTCCTTGAGGTGCAGAGCTGATATCTGACTATTTTAAACTGTACTGTAATTTTCCAGAGGCACACCCCCTTCTCCAAGGTCAGAGCATGCTGCTGCGTGCTATGCTGATCGTTATCTCTTGATATTTGGCGGGGGTTCTCATTCTACATGTTTCAGTGATCTACATCTCCTTGACATGCAGACGGTGAGAATTGAATCTTTTCTTTAGAGCTGGTATTCACTACTTTAGGAAGTCCAAATAAATGGTTATCTGCTAATTGCAGATGGAATGGTCAAGACCAGAACATCAGGGTATTACTCCCGAACCAAGAGCAGGGCATGCAGGTGTTACGGTTGGTGAGAACTGGTTTATTACTGGAGGTGGTAATAACAAGAAAGGTAAGGATGAAAATCCAGCACCTACCTTATACTACGATTATGACTTCCAAAACAATTGAGCTTATTCAATTTCCATGGTTTTATCACCCTTGAGTGTAGCTCCTTATCCATTTACAGATGATATATTTGTTATATCTTTTCTTGATAGTTTTTGAGCTTTTCTTTAGAAAAAGAAAAGTAGCTCACGAAACAGTTTTCGCTCACATGTGCTTAATCGGCTAATCATGATGCACTGCAGGTGTCCCAGAAACACTTGTACTTAACATGTCAACATTTGTATGGTCAGTCGTTACTGGTCTTGAAGGCCGTGCACCCCCAACAAGTGAGGTGAGCTCTTTATGTAACTGGGTTCTCCTAGTAAATAAATGGGAGCATCATCTTTGTTCTGCATATTTACTCTGAATCATCTGATAGTTTGGGTGAAAAGTTTTGTTGGATCTTGTATTCAAACATTGAAGTTCATATTATTCTAACCAATGACATATTTGTAACCCTTGTTAATTGCATTTCTTTCATGTTATGCTCCCATGCTGTTGGTGATATTGAAATGCTGTTGTACATCAGGGCTCAAGTTTAGTGCTGCACAAAGTTAATGGTGAAGATTTTCTGGTGTCATTTGGAGGATACAGTGGACGTTACAGTAATGAGGCACGTCTATTTCATCAGTTTAGTTCTCCTGATGCATATCCTTGTATTCTGCTGAATAGTTCTTTGGTATAGATTTATGCTCTCAAGTCAAGTCGAAAGTCCGGTGTGCCATCTGGGCAACTAAATGAACCTGAAACAAATGGATTGGCCTCTGTGGCAGAAAATTCTAGCAGAGGGGTCATATTTGAAATTGAAGAACTTCAAGATGAAAAGGTAATGGTAGGGTGCAGAACTTCAGTTTTTTTTCCAAATATTTTTAGAAGCATGACTACTTGAAACTTGTTTAAGACATCGAAAGTCCCTAGTGCATATGTTTTGATTATTGTTTTTTTTGTTTTTATATTCATAGAAAATACTAAAAATATAACTAATTGACTACTGACGTCATTTTCATCTCAAATCTTAATCAGTTAATATTCCAAGGCTTGAGTGCACACATCCTAAAATGACGTCCGTTTAAGAATGGAGGGAATAACTCCCAAGACCTGTTCATGCACAACTTATGTGTTCTTAATCACTCAGACTTATATGTTCTTAATCTTTCAGACTATTAAGAGGGCAGATACAAGCAAAACTTTGTTGCAAGCAGTTAAGGGTGAGAAGAGTCATATAGAAGAAAAACTTAACCAGGAAGAGCTGCAGAGTTCCAGACTGAAGCAGGAATTAGCTAACGTGGAGACAAAAAATGTGGAACTTACCAAGGCAAGCTGAATTGTTTTTATAGAATTGTGCAGGAAATGTGATGCTTTTTTCTTTCATTTTACTATCAGAAGTTATGTCTCTACCTATTTCTTATGCATGGGCTACAATTTTCCATTTAAGTTCATTTGATATTTAAGGCTCAATTGTATGCAATTCAGAAAAATATTTATCAAAGCAATGTATGATGTACCTCAGTGAAATTTGTTGCTCTAGGCTGCTATTTCAGTTGTGTTTATCAAGATTCTGTCATTGAGTGCATTCAATGTTGAAACCTCAATGTGCTAAACTTCACAGCATATCACTTTGGAAATACTAGAATATAGATCGAATAGAAGATACTACCTCTGCTAGTGTAGGTGCTCTCTGCGGAGGAAGAAACATGCTTTAGTCTCTATGCTATCAAGTTTAATTGCTGTGCTCTCTGTTATGCAGGAACTTGACTTAGTCCGCAATCAACTTTCTGCTGAAGAAGCAAGGGCGTCGCAACTTGAGGTAGGTAAAAAGAATTTAGGGAATGAACACATGTTCAAGCATTCAGTGAATTGTTCAGATCAGAAAATAGGGTTTGATTTTACATCTATACTCATTTTCTTATGAAAAGCTATGAATGGTGTGCAACAACTTAGGGTGGATTCAGCATTATTGTTCCTTGAAGACACGTTTTCTTAATGATAAAAGGAAAACAAACACCTTTTGCATGGATTGGAACAAAGCTCATTGACAAATTAAATCGGAAACCAGCTTAACATGCGGCCTAACCAGAAACGAGAAAGGCAAACTGTTTATCCCTGTACATAATTGGAACCTGTACTTGCCATTTAGCTTATCTAGCTAGTACCTTTATTTTTTTAAAAAAAATGGTACACAATAAATTAAAAAGTGACATACTTTTTTTACTATTTTATTTATGTCCATGGGCTGATTCTGTTGTTTTCAGATAACATTGTTCATTTACACCCTTTACGTTGCAGCCTTGAAATGTCATAGTTTAACCTTTCACGTCCTACTACTCCCATGGGGATATAGATGCAACGATAAGAATCTTTTGTTTCCAAATGCCAGAACGAAATTTCGGATCTTCAACAAAGGCTGCAGAAGATGGAGACCCTGGAAAAGGAGTCCGAATCGCTTCGGCTTGAAAAGGATGCAGAGTCCGACGATTCATCTTCAGGCAGCAACCAGCGGCCTGCTGATAAGGGCTTCTGGAGGTGGAATGGATAAAAATTCATCGATACAGGTAGTAGCATACTAGCATTGGATGTATGGAGGATATTTCCTGCAGAGTTGCACATTCTTTCAATTTTTGCCCATTTCTTTTTTCCCCTGGAGAGCCCAGTATTCACAAGTAGATCAAATATCGAAAAATGTTTACTCACAGAGAAACAGGATGATAGCAAATCGCGGTTCCATCAAGAGAACTGATCAACCATGAGAAGAATTTAATAAAGTTTACAGGTGGTTCTATTTTTTTCACCTCAAGAATTTTCGCTTTTTATGTTCGTTTGCTGTTTCTGGTTTGGTTATGACGTTAGGAAAATAGTGTTTTGCTCCATATCCTTAGGTTTCAACTCACTACAGGGTTTTGACCTCTGATATTCGGAAATACGTCAGCCTCGATGAGTTGAAGTCGCTTGTCTTCTAGAGGCTTTATTATGCGAAGCCATTGACAAAAAAAAAAAAAATGAAGGCCCGTCTTGTTTGAGCTGTACTCCAAGCTGCAACCAATTTAATTTTAGAAGTTATTTAGGGAATTTTGATCGCTCGGTCTTGCCTTTTGGACTCTGTCCATAACAGAAGTAGTGAAGTACAAAAGTTTTATCCAAAAATTATTTATTATTTTTTACTGTTTTGATCACGTTTCTTCGGCTGGGGGGAAAATGCCTTTCAAAGCATGCACTATTAAGAGTAGTAGTAAATTCAGTTTCTCAAAAAAAAAGAGAAAGAAAAGAGATATATATATAGAGAGAGAGAGTAGCAAGTTCAGACGACAAAGCTGTTTGTTTCTTGATTGTTCTGATTAAGCTCAAAACTGTTGTAACATTTCTGATTCAATACAAAAAGACGTTGGTTCTATATTGATGGAGCAGGCTTTAAGATAAATAAATTTATCCTCAACTGATTTGCAAAATCAAGCGTGCCACCAAATATTACGAGTGGCCAGCCTACAAATATAAGTCATGAAACACACGAATGCTGCTTCCAAATTCTAGAGATCACTTCGGACATCTTATCCAGCTAGTAGCAAATATCTCCAGGCAGTTTTTGACATCAGACTCAGCCAAACATATTGGGAAGAGGTCTCGCCGCCATAAATACATCGACCATCTGCACAAACATGAAATCAATTAAATTATGCAAGAAATTTATATTGCTGGCAATGCTACATGTTTTAAGAATTTCATTAAGCGCATATTCCAGTGTTATCTGTATCACGGCATTTCTTTGATATGCTTGGGTGCATCTGTGCGTACGGAAAAATGTACTTCAAAATATAAAGAAGTGCGCAAGATTGCATAGAGTTGTGTACCTCCTCGGTCACTAGTGCTCTAGCTCTTTGATGTCTCGCAACCAGTTCGGATAGAACTGCAACAAGGCGCTGCTTCACTTCACCCGTCAGCATCCTTCCTTCCTTGTACTCCTGATGAGTTTCAGAAATGTTAGCGGAAATCAGTTGAAGAAAACATGTTAAAGAAACACATCAGGCAAATTAGCTCTACGCCTCTACATATATAGCATAATTTGTATTACCTTCTTTATGTGCTCGAGCTCATTGTCATCTTCAAGGAAGAAGTTCAGGTACTTGATTGGAACATCCACCTGAACATCACAATCACAACTGACATTGATTTAAGGAGAAAAATAAAATACTTTTTTCTGAATCTAAAAATACAAATACAGAACTTGAGCATTGCACATGCGTTAAAGTAATGAAAGTGCCTAAAAAGGTAAAATTTTTGCATGTGTTAGTGTTTGGGGGAAAAATATTGATGGCTTCAATAAATGACAAAAGTACAAACGAAAAGGAAAGGTCCTGAATGTATGAACTGTGAATTAGCATTCTTCCTATATTCAAATTATTTTTCTTTAATTTACATGTTGCATTTCAAACAAATATATGTCAACAGTGCATAACTCAGGTAATCGGGGGAAAGCATACTTTACTAAGTACACACGTTTCACAATTAACAATAAGTTCAATATAACAAGAAAATGACTTACATCAAGGTTAGCTCCAAGTTTTCTATGGAGCTCAATTGAGTCCCGGCCACCTGAGAACGCATATTTGTTCACCTGGAAAAAATGGTAAAATAAATGACAGGCCCATGAAAAGCAGAACCATAAGGCTACAGGACGCTTGACTTAATTGAAGACCAAAATTTGAATGGCCTCAGGTAAAATATAAAATTGCAGTAGTTTTCCACTAAAATACAATGCTTAAAGCAAACCTTTGTCTTTATTTCTTTAGCACTATCTGTCACATATATTGCAGAATTTGGATCACTGGCCGACATTTTTGTGTTCTCCCCCTGTAAATGGAAATAAGCAGCTCACATAAATCAATGTCCCAAATATTATGCTATCTAAAATAGGAAATAAGAAAAATAAATGCTGAGCAATGGACATGAGCGATGAACTTGGCGAATGAAGATGCAATCTTATCAGACATAGATAAATGCAATATAAGAAAATAGCAAGTTACTAATTAACCAGGAGCTGTCAAACAGCACAGGAAAATTAAGTGGAATTTCACTTAAAAAATCGTGATTAATTGCGATTGCCTTTTTTTTAACTTTACTAGTAATAATGATTCTAGTGACAAAACTTGCAAGAAAAATAGATAACCCGTCCTTTCAACTGAAATTTCGTATGTAAACAATCGCTTTGCTATCATTGAAGGACTAACTTCAGATTGAGGTACTGAGCATGAGCTCTGTATTATGCCTCCATTGTTGAATTCCTTTTCTATGCTCATTTTACACTTCTATACAGTGAAGATATTAAGCTATAAACCCATGGTCCTAAAAAAACGTACCTGAAGAGCAGGGAAAAATCTCGATTCAATTAATGATGGTTTCTGGTAACCAATTCTTGGAGCAACGTCCCGGGTCATCCTGAAATAAGGATCCTGGAAGAACAAATCCAATGAGCAACTCAAATCCAATGAGCAACTCAAACTTGCATAACAGAACATGAACATCTACAATAGCTACCTAAAATTAAAGAAATTACAAGAATAAATGTATCATGGTCTGATTGATGTGTTCCTAGACGAAATGGCATGATAGCAGCATGGAAAGGCAGCCAAACCACAAATTCACAGGGAGAAATGGAATCAGGGAGCCCAGATATGTTTATACCTGGTCTATTGCACATGGGATTAAGCACCGTAGTTGGTCATTCCCAGAGAAGAGATGTGGAAATGAAGAAGGGAATGATGGAACCGCTTGCACAGGAGGAAAGCTGACTTTTCCTATATGATCCTCTGGGGTGAATCCAAATATTCCAACAACCTGTCGTTCAAGAGTAAACAATATCAGCAAAAGACAATGGTTGGATGCAAACAAGCAAGTAACCAAGCGATCCACTGCCCAAAATATTGCTAGACTAACTTAAACTGCTCACCTTATTATATGTCACACATCTGGCAACTTTAACCATGTTTTCATAAAAAGCACTGTAAGAAAATGACAGAGGATTACTTTTCTATAGAATAAATAAATCTCAAGAATTACTTGCTTAGCAGAAGAACAGTCATTAAATTAGTCATAAATGAAAGATAAATCAAGACTACAGTTAAGAAGAACCTTACCCTCCAACATAATTAAAATCAGAGAAAATGAAAGTCCTTTCGACATCAAATCCACAAGCAATGATATCTTTTGCATTTTCACGGGCAAGCCTTTTAGTTTCCTCAACAGTCAAATTCTTCCATAAGAACTTCTCATCATCAGTTAGCTGTATTACTAGGGGCACCTTGAAAGCATCCTGCAGATATCTGAAAAGGGATACTGACAGTTAATCGACGTTGTCCAAGCATTCTCACAATTATAAATTAGAATTAAGCCAACAATGTAAAGGTTCATCAAACAAGATATTGCAACAAAGTTTGGAAGCTACATTCAGACTAGAAAGCATAGGAAACATTACACAAAGCAGCATATCTATGTTATATTGTTTCCGTGCAAGATGTAAAAGCATGTCTTGTTTTAAAAAAATGTTTAAATACCGAATTTTCTTTCATGCAAGGAACATGGTAAGATGAAATGTTCCGGGGTAACATTCATCACACCCGACCTTTCAACTGGTCCGGTAATCTATTGCATCGCTCTGCTGATTCACCACATAAACTACAATAAGCATATGAAAGGTTCTACCAACACTGAAAATAGGTAAAGTTCACTAGGTCATCCCAGCAAATAACACATAAAAGGTTTGTGCACATCACCAACAAACGCATTATCCAAGATTCGGCTGCTCTAGCCAAACATACAACTACTCCCTCTCAATACTGCCGCGGCATTGCCCAGTTATTTATACAACAACACGAGTGAATCAAGAACATTGCAGGGGACAGCGAGTATTGCAGATTGGAACAATCGCGCTTACTTGGTGAACATGAAGGGGATGAGATGGCCGAGGTGCAGCGCCTCCGACGAGGGCCCCCTCCCCGTGTAGAGGTAGAACTTCTCCCCCTTCTCGTACAAATCCAGTATCTCGTTCAAATCCCTGCACACACACACAGAGTGAGGGCGAGCAAGCAAACCAAAATCCAGTACTTAGAATCGGGAAACAAGCATTAAGCTAGGGTTTGGAGGGCGGCGGCGGGCGCACGCACCGGTGGGCGAAGAAGAGGCCGCGGCGGAGGAAGCGGTGAGGGGGGCGGGCGGTGAGGCGGGCGACGCGGGCGACGAGCGCGTCGTCGAGGCGCTGGCAGCCGAACTGGTCGACGAGCTTGTCGTAGTCGATCCCGCCTTTCCCCGCCGACACCTCCCACGGGTTCACCACCTGCTCCTCCTCCTCCCCCTCCTCGTTCGTGGCATCCACCTCGGTCACGGCCTCCGCTGCCGCTGCCATGGCGGGATCTCACGCCTCCGGTCGCCGGGGACGCTGCGGCGGCGGCGGCGGCGGCGAGGAGGAGGGGATTGGAGAGGGTGGGAGATAAACCTCGTGCTCTGGCTGACGTGTGGGGCCCGCTGGTCAGAGGCGAGGGCTTTGATGGTGGTGTTTCTTGCTACGCGGGTTCGGGTTTGGGTCTCGTTTTGTAACGGGCCGGAAGGATAGTGAATTCTTCACAATTTTGGCAAAATTCAGGGGATTGTAGCCAAAATAATTTTTGGTAATGATAAAATTTTGGTAAGTTAACAGTATACTAAAATTGGATTTCTTAGTGTCTGTTCAGATTATAGCCAGAATAAACCTTACCAAAATTTTAGTATGTATTTACCAAAATTTGGTAAGAAACTAAATAAATGCACATATTTGACAACTCTATCTAAAACCGGTATGGTTTGAAATGGCATCAATCTGAACAAGCCATTATATATTTATCAAATTTTGGCAAAAACTAAATGACTTAAAAAAAAGGTATAGTTTGAAATGACGTTAATCTGAACAGCCTCTTAATTCAATCGAATTCATAATTATTATGCCCAGGATTGTATCTGTAAATTTGAGGTGATATTGAAGAATGCAAAACATAAAGCACTCAAATTTGCGATGACAACGTATGTATTCTGAGCTATCCCATCGACTCTTGGTAAGAATCGCCAGTGTGTTCTCTTGACTTAGGAATATGAGATGAAAGGACAAAAGATGATAAAAATTCACGTACTAGCTGTTGAGGGTGAACTATACTCTTTCGTAATTTTACTTCAGGTACATGTATTAGGTTAACTAGGTGAAATCCCACGCATTGCTGCAAGATTTTAGTATGATAATAATAAATAAAAATAATGTGTAAGATAGCTAGACAACGTAAGATTACTTAAGTTAGCATGGTTCATGATAATTTAAATTTAAACCGTATATAGAATGATGATTTAAATGTAAAAGTAAGGTGATATGATTTTATGAAAGTAGAAAAGCATTGAGATAATTTATACCATGGATTAATCATCTAAAGGCTAAAAATCATTGAGGTAATATGAATTAATGAGAGATGAAAAGTAGAGAGATAATTTGTACCATATATTAATCATTTAAGCATTAAAAATAATTGATGTAATATGGCTTAATGAGAGAAGAGAGAAATATCATTAACTAAGTGAGGATGAACTATATAGGTACATAGTATATTATAAAAAATAATGAAGATATATATTAAAATATTATGTGAATTATGTGGGATGATAATTTAGCATGCTTGTATTTTAAAAGCTCTAAAATTTAATAAATTATAAAATTATAGATATTATAGCATGTTTACATAATGTTTAATTTAATGATTGTTAGTAGAAGATAATGTGGTATCTTTGCATGTTAAGTTTTAGGAGTTAGTGGGTTATAACTTTATAATAAGAGACGATATAGATTTTCTTCTTACTCAAGTTTAGGGTCTAATTGAGGACCGAGCGTAGCTCGGTTGGCACGTTCGCAGTGGAGCGAACGGCCGGTCGCGAGTAACTCGCGGGACCTCACCTCGACGGGATTTTCCCGTCTTTCTTTAGGACGGTCCTTCAGGGCAGTCTCGACTAGAAATAGGGCACACACGCGTGCGCGTTCAGTGAGACTACACGTTTCCCGTGCACTGAGACCTACTGGTCTCCAATCTCTTTCCCAGCGTGTGTTAAGGACGCACACACGCGTGCGCGTTCAGTGAGACTACACGTTTTCCGTGCACTGAGACCTACTGGTCTCCAATCTCTTTTCCAGCAGCGTGTGTTAAGGACGCGCACGCGTGTATGTGCGTGTGTTGTGGTGTGAGTGTGGTGTATGTGAGTGTGCGTTCTGAGCTGTACCCCTTCTTAAAAAAAGTTTAGGGCCTAATTTGTCGTTATATATGACATCCAGGTCGTTATTCACAGTATCATCGTTTAAATCAAGTAAATTAGTTACTCCTATTAACACTTCTTTGCCATTAAATTTAAGATATTTTTATCGGTATTTTGGTACGTCATACATATATGAGTCAATTTTTAAATTCGTTTGCTTTTCGAAATACATATCCATATTTGAGTCGGTTTTTAAAATCGTTCACTTCTCTTCTCTATCTCTACTATTATAAAAATTGATGTTGTTTTTGCTGGTAATTTGATACGTCATCCGAGTTTGAATCGGTTTTAATTTTATATTTCGGTATTAACCTCTATGTCTACTACTGAAAAAGAACGAGAAATTTCCTTGGTCTGTAAAAATGGTAAAAGAAAAAAAGAAAAAGTCCGACTGTAAAAAAAAGTCCGACTAAAAAGGTAAAATAAAAAAGAAAAAGTCCGACTAAAAAGCGAAAAAAAAAAGCTTCTGTCGTAGTAAAAAGACATTTTGTCGTAATAAAAATTGTCCGACTCCGGAAAAAAAAGGAAAAAATCTCTCACCAGTAAAAAAACAAAAAGTCCGTTTGGTTTTTTTTACCGGTTTTTTCCCGACTTTTTTTTTCACGCGAAAGAGTTTTTTTTCCCACGCGCTAACCTTTTGGTTTTTTTCGTCTGGTTTTTTTATTCCGATCTCTGTTCACTGCACACCTCCCGAGCACTTTTGGTTTTTCCGTCAGTTTTTTCTGTCACCATTTTTTCTCCCGTGCGCTTTTTTTTACTTATCCAGTTTTTTAATCCGATCCGTTCGCCGCATGCCTCCTGCTGCCGCCATATCGATACTGTGTTTTCTCCTCCAATTTGATTGCAAAAATCGTTTCCCCACCCCTCCCTCATCATTCTCTCCTTGATTTTCCCTTTCGATTCACCTTTAATTTGTTGGATTTAATCTCCGTTTAACATTTGCCGATGATAAAGGCCATCTTCCCCGGTCGTTTTTATCCCGAGTTTCACGCTCTGATTTTGGAAAAAAAAGGAAATAGTAGATCGAGTGGATCAAAAATCCTCAACCAATTTTAGGTGACAGGCCACCGTACTAGTACGGGATTATCTTCGGGAGGTTGAAGATGGTAGTAGACGGTGCGAGCTGGGCTTACGGCTCCCTTTGTTCTAGGTCGAAGGGAAGTAGGCCAAACGAAGGGAGGTAGTGGACTGACCTAGGCTAAAAAGGAAGGAAGGCTTTCGACCAACGCACGGGTATTTTTTCTAGTTTAGTAATACATAAGAAATCATATAAAAGAATCTATTTAACAAAACTCGCATGCTAAAGAGACGATCGAACTCCTAACTACAGCTCATGATTTTCTAAAAATATATATATATCCAAACGAACTCTCATAGTAAATTTCATTTTAACTAAACCATATAACAATAATAATGTCGACGTTTGATGTCGCGATTCTGGTATTTGTATAGTATGGGGATCGTTGGTACTAGGATATATGCGAGACTGAGGTAAAGGAGATGGGGACGAGGATTTTTATACAGATTCGGGCCCCTGAACTGTCAGGTAATAACCCTACATCCTGTTGGCCAAAGCCGGTCGTTGATCTTATTCATCATAATCACACCAGTACAATATTTGGAGTAGCCTATCTAACTGTTGTCGACATGGCGGTATGAAGTTCTGACTCGTAGTCGACAACAGGGTAGTCTTCCTCCTCGAATCCGTGCCCGGCGAGATCAGAGATAGCGCTTTCGTCTCTCTAGACAGTATCCGGAGACACCATAGGAGACTAGCCGTGCTTATCTCTGAAGTCGATATCCGGCATCTTGTCTTGGCGTATGTTGGCTTGTATGTTGATCTTGTGTCTTGATCTATTGTTCCGTGTATGTTGATTGTCTCCTCTCCTCCTAGGGGGTCTTGTATTTATACCCATAGGTGTCCCCTTGTCCAAGTAGAACTAAGGAAACTAAAATGGATACAATCCGAGTAGTCTTTGTCGTTTCCATGTAGAACTCTAGTTGTCTTTCCTTATCCGGAACTCCCTCTATATCCAAAGTCAGTTTCCGTATAAGACATGGTATGTGGTCAGTCCTGCCGAAATTTAGTCGACTACTATTAGGTATGTGGTATCCATAACCTTGACAGTAGCCCCCGACTTCAATGCAAATGAACAAATTCATATTCTCAACCGCCGACCCTGGAGTAACTGTTATCGAGCTCACGTAACCGTTCTCGGTGAGTTCAGAGATAACGTTAGACTTCCCTTATCAGCCTCGTGCGGGCACCTATAGGGTTTGTCTGAGTCAATCTCCGATGTCAGCCAAGAAAGTACATAGCATACGACTAAGTCTCCCGTCTTGCTGTAATCGAGAATTTGGATTGAAGTCAAGAAATTTTATCTCGACGGGTACACCATCTCTTCATTCCGTATTCCTTGTCGATATCCACCAACCGTTCTCGAGTGATCGAGAAGGCGCAGAATCTGCGACGGAGCCTTGTCAACATTTGTCGTACTCGCCTTGGTTGATCTTGGCGTAGAACCATAGAGACATGGAGTCTTCGACAGAGTCGAATAGAATTTTCCTGAAATCAATACTAAGAAAAGAATATTAGATAGAAATAGCCCCCGAACAAACGCTCAAAGGGTGACATGTTATAATATGTATGGAAAATTGAAAATGAATTAAATTTACAGACCAATGTTTTGTATATTAGCGTCTTCTCTTTTACCGACTTCGATTAGTCAGTTTGTTGAGTCATACACTCTCCCTAGCCCCCAGCCTTGTCGTCGGAGAATCGTTCTCGGAGGATAAGGCTCTTGGACCCTTGACCTGCCTTGGTTGAAAAAGCACTGATCCTAGCCCCCAGTCGTGAAGTTGGAAAACTCAATTTCCGATTACACGGCTTGGTTAATACGCACGGCGAGAACTCTTACATGACCAGATCTTAGATGGCCGTTTGTCTCTACAGGATCCGACAAGGCCTTATCTGCTCTGGACGTCCTCAGCCGAAGTTCCCTTAGGTTCCTCAGAGGCCTTGTCAGGACGGCGTAAAGGGACATGAGGATAGGTTTCAACTCTAGGTGTCGTCGTGGTAAGAGATCTCTGGGTAAAACACTTAGCGATATTGTGTACCTGATATCAACTTTGTTGGAGTAGAGGTAGTGGGAGAATCGCTACACCGCTGGTCGAGGACCAGGTAGTAGTCGTAACTCGACCACTTAAAGTGGCGGTGCGAGAGATTGCTACGGTATACTGGTTCGAGAACCAGCGAGTAGAATTATCTCTCGAGCACCAATAGAAGTTACGGTGCGAGAGATTGCTACGGTATACTGGTTAGAGAACCAGCGAGTAGAATTATCTCTCGAGCACCAATGGAAGTTGCGGTGCGAGAGAGTGCTACGGTGTACTGGTTCGAGAACCAGCGAGTAGAATTATCTCTCGAGCATCAATGGAAGTTGCGATGCGAGAGATTGCTACGATTTACCGGTTCGAGAACCAGCGAGTAGAATTATCTCTCGAGCACCAATGGAAGTTGCGGTGCGAGAGATTGCTACGATTTACTGGTTCGAGAACCAGCGAGTAGAATTATCTCTCGAACACCAATGGAAGCGCTAGAGTTGGTTTATTACATGGGCATCTCATGTAGCCAACATGACTCACATCTCCAACTTATAGCATATCCGGATGTCTGTTCGCAATCATGTCGGGTGATCAAGCCGACGACGTTCGCAAGGAATTATCCGTTAACAATCTTTTCTCGAGTAGCCCAGCCATGGCCGGTGCTATGAGATAGGTCGTCAGTCTTCGTTGGCAGGTTGGGCGCGACGACTCTGCATTTGTCGAGATCGTTCTCAATAATAGGGTGTACTCGACCACAACCTACTCGAGCGCTCAATTGTTTCTAAAAATATTTTCTAGAAGGCAAGACATATAACAGAGAATATCAAGTATGTACTCAAAAAACTGCATGGATCTTCTAGCATTATCAGGATATAACGAGCAGATGTAAATATCAGTCATTATATACACCGTAAATAAGCATGATTTATATAGAAGAAAATAGAGCGAGCCCCCAGCGTTCAACCGTAGTCGATTTAACATCGGGGACACTCGCGCAATAGACATTGTATAAAAAACACGCTCTAGGTAAACATAATAAATTATTGATCTGACAATATCTAAAAATAGGTACGGTAAATTGTATATAAAATATTGCGTACCTTTATAGATATATACCGAATATATCTACGAAATTAGTAGATTAATTTAAAATCAATCTTACTAATTACCTTCGTTCGCATATTTATAAAGATCAGACTATGCGAATATCTGTTTTTCCTCGTCATATATAAAGGTGTCTTGGTTATATGACTGATCAAAGCCATTAATTAGCTTCCTGATCAGGCGCACGTGTAGAAGCAGCATCGGTCTTGGCTTCCATGTGTAGCCGGCCGGACATGGCAGTTGATCTCCCTTCCGTCTTGCTGTTGTACACGCGTCCGAACTAGTCACGTGTGTTTTCAGTATTGGATTTGGAGAAGATGCCATGCTCGGTTTGAATTCGTAAGGATGCCCATCGATGCTTGCTCCGTATCCTCCTTCTCGATGCCGGATCAATTTGTGACGTCGCCTCCACGGTCAGAGCAGGTACTCCGATTGATGAAGTAGATTGGATTGTTAATGATGATGGTTCTGATCTTGTCGGGAGACATACTTCGATCGGGTTAGATCTCCCCTTCAGCCAAAGTCGCCGAGTAGATTATTGTTGAAGAATCCATCTTTTGAACCCATCTCATCGAAATCCTAAAGCACCAAAATCCCCCTACCTGGCGCGCCACTATCGACGTTTGATGTCGCGATTCCAGTATTTGCATAGTATGAGGATCGTTGGTACTAGGATATATGCGAGACTGAGGTAAATGAGATGGGGACGAGGATTTTTATACAGGTTCGGGCCCCTGAACTGTCAGGTAATAACCCTACATCCTGTTAGCCGAAGCCGGTCGTTGATCTTATTCATCATAATCACACCAGTACAATATTTGGGGTAGCCTATCTAACTGTTGTCGATATGGCGGTCTGAAGTTCTGACTCATAGTCGATGACAGGGTAGTCTTCCTCCTCGAATCTGTGCCCGGCGAGATCAGAGATAGCGCTTTCGTCTCTCCTGACAGTATCCGGAGAAACCGTAGGGGACTAACCGTGCTTATCTCTGAAGTCGATATCCGACGTCTTGTCTTGGCGTATGTTGGCTTGTATATTGATCTTGTGTCTTGATCTATTATTCCGTGTATGTTGATTATCTCATCTTCTCCTAGGGGGTCTTGTATTTATACCTATAGGTGTTCCCTTGTCCAAGTAGAAATAGGAAAACTAATATGGATACAATCCAAGTAGTACTTGTCGTTTCCATGTAGAACTCTAGTTATCTTTACTTATCCGGAACTCCCTCCATATCTAAAGTCAGTTTCGATATAAGACATGGTATGTGGTGGGTCCTGTCGAGATTTAGTCAACTACTATTAGGTATGTGGTATCTATAACCCTAACAAATAACATTAAATAAACTTCACCCATTGTAACGCAAGAGCTTTTTTTTCCAGTTTGAATTAAAGATTTGAACATTCAACACGAAACTATGAATTGTGATGATTCAAATTCAATTTAAATTTTTCTTACTTTTTCGTAGTCGCCATCAGCTCCAGACCAAACCCCATCCTAAAAATCCTCCAAATCTCGCCCATGTCGCCGCCGACGATGACGACCGCCGCCGCCGCCACCGCCACCGCCATGGCCGCCGGCGTTCTCCCCCGACCGCGCCCGCACTTCCTCCGCCGCGGCATCCTCCCCTCGCCGGCCTCCCCGCTCCCCTTCGCTTCCCGGGTCTCCTCCGCTGCGCCCCTCCGCCACCGCCTCCCGCCGCCGCGCTTCTCCCTCTCCCCGATCCCCAAGACCCTCTCCTCGCCGTCGCACGTCCCCGTCCGCTCCCTCTTCACCGGCATCGTCGAGGACGTCGGCACCGTCCGCCGCATCGGCCCGCCGCCCGCGCCGCCCTCCGGCGGCGGCGGCGAGGCCCCCGGCGTTGACCTCGAGGTGGAGACGAGCACCCTCCTCGCCGGGACGCAGCTCGGGGACAGCGTGGCCGTCGACGGGGCCTGCCTCACCGTCGCGGCCATCGACGCGGCGGCGTCGACGCTCACCTTCGGCGTCGCGCCGGAGACACTCCGCCGGACGTCCCTCGGCGGCCGGTCCGCCGGCGACGCCGTGAACCTGGAGCGCGCGCTCACGCCGGCGTCGCGCATGGGGGGCCACTTCGTGCAGGGCCACGTGGACGGGACGGGGGAGATCGCCGCGTTCCGGGCCGAGGGGGACTCGCTCTGGGTCACCGTGCGCGCGCCGCCGGAGATCCTGCGGCTGCTGGTGTCCAAGGGCTTCGTCGCCGTCGACGGCGCGAGCCTCACCGTGGTGAACGTCGACGAGGAAGGCGGGTGGTTCGACTTCATGCTGGTGAGGTACACCCAGGACAACATCGTGCTGCCGAACAAGAAGGTTGGGGACAAGGTGAACCTCGAGGCCGACATACTCGGCAAGTACGTCGAGAAGCTCCTCGCCGGGAGATTGGAGGCGATGTCGAAGGTGTGAATTTGCCATTTGTTGAGCTGGAAGAAGCACTGCTCTTCATTCCTTTTCGGTATAAATAAGGCGCAATCTAATGTTCATCAGTAATGGCAGATTCTGTATTTCTCCTTTCTGTATATGTTGATTGAGATGCATATTTAGTTATTTATGATCAATTGATTTCGGTGACGCTACCTTATTCATATTGTTTCATAGTCATTGAATACTTTTTGCTTGCTGCGGAGTAAAGTGCTTGGTGTGATGGTGTCTTATCTTGGTTGGATTGGTCTAGTAGTTCACTGGTTCTAGTTCATCCTCGCGCTACTTAAAAGTTAGTGTTTGATCAGTGCCATGTCATTTGTCATGTCTGTTAATTGTTCAAGAGGTAGTAGCCTGGTTATAACTATCTCCAATTTATTGGTTCCATGCAATGTCGTAATTCTTGAAAGAACTGGTATCAATTTTAGGTGGTAGTAGCGTGATTTTCTGCTGCCATATATGAACATTTCCAATTTCTGGAATAGATCGTGATGTAGGGTGTGTTGGTAGTTGTGGTATCTGTTTGCGCAGTTGTATGTACGGTTATCTGTTCTTGATGGGCTTGGCATCTTGGGGAAACAGGCCACACTAATGGAAGTAGAATCAGCAAACCTTCACCAGATTGATCTACATGTTACCTTTTCGTTGTGTTTTTCCTGTATATTTGATACTCTGTAATTGATATACCCGTGCTTTGCATTGTGCAGGCAGGAAAGAGAAGGGAATGAAAGCGGATCCTGATCCACTGCTTCCTTTGCGGAATCGTTCTGGAGCCAGGAGCAAGGAAGATAAAAAGAGAGGCTCTTTTCAGACTTGCATAGCTCCATTGCATCGACGAAAAATTATACCAACAGTGTTCTTGTAATAACGCAGCTTGTAAGTTGTAAGCTTGCCTTTCCATTGCCTCTGTTGAACGAAGCGGAGACAGTTGAAGAGTTCCATATGATAATTCAGAGTTATAAAGTTTTTGACATTGTGTAAATTTGGTGTTGCTTCTGCTGCTGCTCGTGTAATTCTGGTGGCTGCTTAGCTTGTTGCTGAAGGCTGTGTTTAGTTGAGGGGAAAGTTTGGATTTTGGTTGAAATTAAAGATGATGTGACTGAAAAGTTGTGTGTGTATGACATGTTGATGTGATGGAAAAGGACTGAAGTTTGGATCTAAACACAGCCGAAGCTTTGCTCCAGATTTTGTATGGTGGTTACTGGCTGAGGAATTCCAGGCAGGTTGTTGTCCTGATGCTGTTTTATAGAGTAGGGTAGAGTTAAGTGAGAACAATTAGTTTAGAAAATGATCAGTTGACAGAAAGCGCATCTGGTGTAGTGGTATCATAGTACCCTCCCACGGTACTGACCGGGGTTCGATTCCCCGGATGCGCATTTGTTTTTTATTCTTTTCACTCTGTCTTTTTTACTTCTCTCATCATCAAAAACAAAATGCATCAGTCTGATGATCAACCATGTTTTTTTTGGGGGGGTTTCTTTTTACTCATAAACGAAATGGATCAGTCTGTTGATCAACCTTCTCACCATCAAAAACAAAATGCATCAGTCCGATGATCAACCATGTTTTTTTGGGGGGTTTCTTTTTACTCATAAACGAAATGGATCAGTCTGTTGATCAACCAGGCGTTCGTTTTCATCTCTTTCTCTTGTTTTTTTTTTAATCTCTAAAACAAGATGCATCATTTTGTAGACTTTCTGATGATCAATCAGGTGTCGTTTCTTTTCTTTTCAACTCCTTAAACAAAAGCAAAGTGCGTCATTCTGATAATCTGATGGTCAATCATATCAGGGTGAGGATTGAAGAATGCATCGTCTAAAAAAAACGTGAATGCTATATCATTCTGGCCGGTTGTCAATCAGGGATGACTTGTGAAAGCATTCGCAGGCTGCACTGCACTGCTACAGTCAAGGCAGCTCACTGAAGGCCGTGATAACCGATTTGGTCGCCATAAATTATGCTAAGGATTAATTATGGTCAGTCTACTAACCCTAACATAATTATAATTACATTATTAGGTCCACGGTTCACCTTCACGCTTCGTGAACTAATACATCTCCATCTCTTACACTCTCCTACTACCTACCTCTATATATGTGCTGGATTTGGATACTTCCATTTGTGCCATACATTTTGTCATTTCGACCTGCTCCATGGCAACCACATGCATGTTCTCCAAACTAGTGATCCCTAACAACTACAATAATCGGAGTTGGCATCTTGTAATTTATTTTTTGGTATACTAACTGTGGGTATAAATTTAGTTCGTAAACTTAATAAATGTGTGCATTATTCCTAAAACTTCGTATATTTTTTTTCGAGGGGACAGGCAGGGAGCTCCTGCAATTTACTATAGAAAAAGAGAGTTGATCCAGTTTATAAGGAAAACCGGACCCAAAAACCTTACAACTGCACAGTTAATTAAAGGAAAACTGGCGAAAACCCGGCATTGACAAAACTGAACCAAATGACAATTGTCCAACAAGGAAAAAAACTCCTAGAACGAATCCTTCAAGAAGGTTACGCTGACAGAACGGCGACAACGTCCGATCCTAACGAATCCAAGGTTTTCACCCGAAGAGTTTCCTTGAAGTGGAGTTGAAACGAGGGCTCCAAACGCAACGCCTTCAAGAAGGTGAACGGCGTCCGAGGGCGCTGCCGTTAGTAGCACCAGAAGCGGAGCAAGGTTTTCACCTCGGAGACCCTGTCAACCAAAGCATCCAAAACGGAAGCTTCCAAATGCCTCCTGCACACCGAAGGGTACCTGCACTATGGACACCACCTGCACAATGACCGGATTCTGCACCACCCTTGACCCCGACTGAGAACGCGCCGGATCTAGACCTAAAGCCCAAATCGGCCGTCCTCCTTTCACCACCATCGCCAGCCACGGGCGAGGTTGGCTGCCGGCGCCGCACGCTCCAAACACCACCGGACGTCGCGCCACCGCCGGATCCAGACGCGCCGCCGCCGGATCTGTTCACCCCACCGCCGCCCGTCTCCAACCCCGCCGCCATCGGCCGCTGCCGCCACTACCGCCGCCATCTCCATCCCCGCCACCGTCGCCCATCGCCGCCCCGCCAGATCCGGCCGAAGCGGCGCGAATCTGGCGGTTTACCGCCGCCGCCTCTCCGGAGAGACCCCCGGTCTCCTAAGAGTGGCGCGAGAGAGGAGCCCCGCCGCCGCCGTCCTTGTGGCCGCGCGGCTTTGCCGGCGGCCACTCGGGCAGCGGCGAGGCGGAGGAGGGAGGTGGGGGAGAGAGAAGGGGTGGCCGAGTCGTCGCCTCCCGTGCCGCCCCTGGGGGAGGACGACGCGAGGGAAGGTTGTCCCCTCAAGTATCACACACTTAAAAACTTCGTATATGAGTGCAATTTAGTCCAAGAAGTTAATAAATAAACATATAGGTGCAACAACTTATAAGATGGGTAAGATTTTGTACAAACTTAAGAAGTGATATAACAACTTACTTAGTTTGGGCATATTTTTTCTATACATGTTCGGTTTTTGAATAGTTGTTTTGTGGATATACATGTGCATATTTGTATAAGCTTACTCAAATTTTATCATTCTAGTAAATAAAACAATTAGATTTTACTATGTAGAAATTTTTGTATTTCGGTTGAGATTTGAGAATGTGAAGCAAATCAGTGGTGCAAATTATATGATCAATGTAATTCTTATGGATTAATTTAGATTGTGAGGCAATATCTACTGGATTAGCATGTGATGGCAAATTGACATTATTGAAAAAAAAAACTCAGCTAACACTCATTAACCAAAGAGCAAAGTTATTACACTCACTTGCCAAGTTGCTAGAACAAAAAAAAATAAAAACCTAAGTTGTCAAGTGGTACATACTCACTTGTCAAGTTATTACACTCGAATGTTCAATTATAAGTGTTATATAATGAATACAATTTACTCTTATTTTAGGAGAACAAAAATACGAGACCGACTGTCTCTGCACCATCTGAAATACACACAACCATATTTCGTGAATTAACACCTAATCTCGATCTATTGTACATAACCTAAATATACACACACTTATATATTTATAGACACGATTTGAATCCTGGTGAGAGTGATGGAGGCCAAACACAGACGCGCACGCAACTTAATTTACCATTACACTAATGGTACTTATTGTGCAACTAATTGACAGTGGATTAATTTTAGAAAACGAGTTTAATCTCAACTTTGTTAACTACTTCCTTTGATTCAAATCATTTTAGCATTTTACATATTAATATAAAATGGTAGAATGACTTACATCGTATAACGGAAGGGTACAAACTAATATATATAGGTACATGCGTATACGTACACTCATCACCTGGACCTGGTAGGTAGATTAATTAGGCCTGGTCGTAGTAGTCTGATATATATATAGGCGTGTGTGCGTGTCATGTTGCCATGTACACACGTTAATTAGTACGTTACGTAGACATGCAAAGCACACGTTAATTAGCTAGCTCCTTGGCTACTAGTAATGATCAGGTCAAAGCTTAGTCATTAGTATAAATTCTGAACTAACCTATGGGCGCACACATACGGGAAACGGTACGATTGGCCGTGTCCTGCATGGTGGTCAACGTAGGCACATATATGCTCAGAGACCTTGCCTGGCCTTCCAAAATATCAAGTCGTCAGAAGCTATTCTAAACGGTTTAGATTGTAAGTTAGATTATGAGAATATCCAGTATATAATATGGAAAATAAATTAAAAGTTAGAAGTTGAAAAACTCAGTTTTTCTAGCTAGATTCTCACAAGTTAGGGCCCTTCCATTCTATAGGAAAATTTCCTATGAAAACCTTTCAAACAAAGAATTAAATCCTATGTTATCCTTTCAAATTCCTATGTAATGGATAATCCTATAGAGATTTTAAAGAAAATTTAGCAAGAACTCTAACCTATTGGAAATTTCCATTTGATTCTATCTCTCTCATCTGATTCATGGTTTTTTTTCTACGGTCCAATTAATCGGTTATTCATGTGTTTTTCTGTATTTTGCAATCATCTGTTTTACAAGTACATTCCTATTAGAATTCTACGTTTTAACTATTCCTCCGTTTTTACATTCCTACTATTCAAAAGGGCCCTAACATTTTACCATCTGATTCTCATAAGATCCCTCAATTATGGCTTTTGGCTCTTTCCACCTTCCGTGTGGGTGTTAGTACTATATATGACATTTATATAGGTTTTATGGTATTTTATAGAAATTATTTTAATTATAATATAGTCGATAGAGAAGTCACAAATTAATATATACTGCTATAATTCTCGTACTCTGAAGGAGAGGACGAGTTAGCACAAGCAACCTTCTTAGGCAATATTTCCATACACAAAGAACATGCCAATTATATTGTTCCTAGCTAAGTGGATAGTGGATACAATATGCCTTATTTATTAGAAAAGAAGTCGTTAGAGCGATACAATAGCAGATTATTAGCCAGCTGTAAACATATTTTAATGAGATAAAACATGAGAGAGAAGAGCAGCGGGCTACAGATCTGTAGCCAGCTGCAGCGCGGACTCCAAGAAGCAATATGTATATAACAGGTGAAACCATATATTAATAGTATATGACGGAGCGTGGGGCTCCTCACCGGGAGACTGCGCGGGCCCCCCTTTGCCGGTTCGGCCGGGGGCGCTGAGTGAGGCTCTAAGCCCTTGATCTGTGGAATGTTTCGCGAGAAAGGAAACGCACAAGACACGGGCGATGTATACAGGTTCGGGCCGCTGAGAAGCGTAATACCCTACTCCTGTGTTCTGGTGGATCTGAGTGTGAAGGAATTACAGAGAGCAGAAGAGCTAGAGAGCTTAGGTGTTCTCTCAGTTGTCTTCCTCCTTTTTTCTTTTTTTCTTCCCCTTTTTTCGTCCTTTCTTTTCCCCCCTCTCTTTTCGTCCTTTCTTTTCCCCCCTCTCTTTTTTCCTTTTTGGTGGGCAAGGTCCTCCTTTTATAACTCAAGGGGATCCCACATGCTCCACTTCTACCTACTTTTCTTTTGGGTGGAGACCCACTCTATCTTCACCAAAACTCGACTCACCTTCTCTTGGAAGCTAAAACACAGCTTGTTCTTCAGTGTGGCCAGGCGTGCTCACTCGTCTACTCTCGGAGATCACCCTGTCATCCCTTCATAAATGGGCGGAGATTTGCAATGGCTGCTGTCCGAATGACCCTCCGATGGGATGGGTCATACCTACCTCCACTCCGCTGGAAGGAGGTGCAAAACGGGAGCGCGGTTGTCCGCCTATGACATGACAGGCGTCAGACCAGTCACAGACCGGTCACTCTCGTCCACCACGCGTCAGTTTAGCAAGCTGCATGTCTGCCCTTCTTCATACAAAGACTTCCTTGCAATGGTTGGGATGAAGCCTGGCATATATCTGACCGGGACCGACGTGCCATCTTCAGGAGCTGGCACGCCGTCTCCGGCTAGGGACAAGTGCCTGGAGGCTCTCATCAATCCGACGGGACGGGGCGAGGCGTGTAACAGGCCACCTGCCACCACCTAACCCGCGATCTGACCGGTCTGTGACCGGTCACACGCTGCGCCCGGTCACGGACCGGATAAGCGAGCGCGCTGCGCTGCATTACATGCGACGTGACGCGCTCGTTCAACCCGCAATAAATGCGGTTAGGTGAGCCCCGCTGTGCTCACCTAACCCATATACGTGGCGCCAAACCCACAGGGGGTCGGGGCGCCCCGGCCCTCGGGGCCGAAACGGGAGCGGTCCGACCCCTCGGGGAGACAAAAGGAGGGGCGGCCACATCACCCTCGGGCCCGACCCCCCCCCCCCCCCCCCCGAGGGGGTCAGGCCACGTGGGTGATCGCGGCTGCCCAAGCCTCTAGTCATGATACTCCCGGTCCCATGTCACCGACAGTATAGTAAGCAACTATTGTATGAATTGGCTATTGTATTGACTATATATGAATTGGAGCTAGTAGTGAGCTATACTATTAAACTTGCTCTTATGGTGGTGGAGTTGAAAAATATTTATCGAGGATCAGGGTTTACACTTCCATTTTCCACCAAAATTTTGGGCTCACTTAAAAAAGAGTAAATTACACCAGGGGTCCTTAAACTTGTAAGCATGTTTTACATATGTCCATGAATTTGGAAAACGTGCGTCAATGTCTTTAAACTTGGTTTATTGTATCATCACGGTCCAAAATCTCGTTCGACCGTGGACTTACCTACGTGACATGCTACGTAGTCAAATGAGGCTTTAAACCGAGATGATATAATAAATCAAGTTTAAGAACCTTGATGCGCACTATGCAAGATATCGCGAATTTAGGTGAAACCTCCCTGTAAGTTTACGGAGCGCTAGTGTAATTTACTCTTTAAAAAACATCTTCCGTACATAGATACTACGTTTAAGTACTAAACATTTCCTTTGGTTTCAAGAGTTTGATTTCTCCCTGATTGGTTGACCATGTATAAAACGTGTATGCAACAAGACAACGAGTATAGTACAATGAAGACAGAGCGACGACCGAGATGAGGAATTTCCTCCGGTTTTTGATCTTTTCATCAGGACTGTGGAATGCACACGACCGTTGCCAAAATAATGGCCATGACAGCTCGTGCTTAATTAACAAGTAATCTCAAAAAATTTGGTCAGCGTTCTCTCTCGCTCGCAACGAATCCAAAATCCAAAGTTATGATCGACGACCCAAATCCAATCAAGCAAAGTGGATCCTAGTTGGTAGAAAAAAGAAGGAATTTAATTGGGGCATCAAGTTTTTTTTTGAGTTCAAGAAATAGATTTTGATGAGTATATGTTTCCATGGAATTTATGTAATATTATTTTTACTATCTTTGAATAGAAGTTTCACATGAAATTGGTGTGACATTATTTTACCGTTCTCGAGGCGAGGATACCAAAATAACATGATATAAACCTCTGTTTCACATGTCATAAGTATCTATTTGGCTAAACTGTTAACTGTGCATTATAATCAGAAGTGGATTTTTAATTTTAACTTTAGAAATAATTTTAGGTATTTATTTGTCTATTTGGTTGCCGGCATGATTTTTGCTAGCTAGGGGACAAGTAAAAGAAATCCTTAAAAATTTTCTTACAACTCAAAAGTTAAAATTTTTTCATTGTGAATGTAGAAGCTGGATTTTAATCCATTTTCTAAAAAAAATTATATCATTTTACCTACAGTATAATTTAAGATAAATGAGCTGTTTAATTTACTCGTGTGGGTAGGAGATAGAGAGAACATTGTCATTAGTAATCACTGATTTACAGATTAGTCACTCATCTGCTGACACAAGAATGTAGACACCGTTGATGTTGGAACATGGAAATCACTGCATTCATACGCATCAACACAACTATATAAAAGCTACAGAAACATTGTTTTTGCATTTCGAGGTAATAGATAACTCTAGCCCCCATTACTTTTGAGTGCCGACCAACACAGTTTTCAATTTGGCTAAATATCTTTCACAAAATGCCAATGAAATTGTCATAAAGATGATCCAAACAAAGCCATGTTAGGTACCACAACCTTTTGTTCCGTACTTCTTCATACCACACAAAAACAAAAAAAAAGATAAAGTCACAACCATTTCAACAAAAATTCCAACAATGTCCCAATGACAAGTGGGCCCACAACCTGAACCGGCTGACACGGTCCCACATTTCAGTGACAGATATGAACACCCTGTGAACCATGTGGACGGTCTCTTGCACACACAGGAGAATATTTTGTTGTGCAGGGGAGATGAACATGGACAACCTATGATGATCAGTTGATCACCTATGATTTGTTGAAAACAATGAGCAGAGGAAAACAATGCTGGTTTGGTAGACATTCTCAGGGTTGATGGAGCTCAAAAACTGGTGACAGCGGCTAGTGGTTTTTCACAGCTCCTGTTCTTTGTTTAACTAACAAACAGCTGCATGTTCATATGTTTGTGCCTAAGAACTTTCTTAAGCGTGTCCCAACAACCCCTTTTGGTGAGAGCAATGGCTCAACAACCTTAGCCACTTTGTGGATTTTTTTTCTTTTGTTCCATGATGATTAGGAACTGCATGCAGGGGACTTGTTTTAACGGTGCTAATCTTTTGTTTGGTTCGTTGTTGTGATGTATCCATGCAGATAAGAGATAATTCAGTTGGCCTAACTACTTTACTGATGAGCACATGGTTTTTTCATCAAAAGTTTGTCTGGATTTTTAATATTGATGACAGTATGCTATAAAAATTACTAAAACATGGTGAAAAAAAGTACATTTGTCTCATTGGTGATAGAAATAAATATAGCACATTAATTGGTAAAAAAAACATAAATATGTAGTTTAGGCCTTTAGGGTGCATTTCGACTATAACAATTTATTTCGCATTTTGCCTGGATATAGTAAATGAGGGTGACAATTTTTTAATAAATGAACTTATGAACACAACCACAAAAATTAGGCTAATAAGTCCACAAACCTTAAGAAAATTATCAATATTTTTTTAAAAGTTTATGTAAGTAATACATTAGTGGTACCATTAAAGAGTTTACGAGTTAGAACTATTAAGACTTTCATCCCATGGACCACACCAATCTATCTAGTTTAGTGCTCATTTGTCATCTCCCACATTGAACATCTCATAATTAATCTTCTCCTAACTCCAAACCAGCCAGCCAGCCAGAGAACAAGTACACAAAAGAATTAAGTATCCTAGGAGATAAATACCATGTCACATTGTCACTCAAAAGCCCATGAAACAATCATGTGCTAAAAAACCAGGCTAAGTCATGCATGTGTCCATGTAGCAGAGAGGATAAGACTAGAGAGCAGCCAGGCCACATTATAATAGAGGGCAACAAAAAAAACAAAAAAAATCCAGCAGCTAGCTTCACTGGTTTTGAAGGCTTCCCTAACTAGATGCTGGATTTGCTGCTGCATGGGCGGCGCCCCCTGTATTGGCCACCTCACCACCTCCATGGATTGCAGCTGTCCTCTCTACCTTAACCCTTTGACCAGTGCTTGTTTGTGTGTAGCACTAGTAGACAAAGCACCATCCATGACTTGAAAAGAAAATTCACCAAATTGGTTGCAAGTATTGGTTGATGGCTCTTATCTATCTAGTAAGTAGAACTAGTAGAGGAGATAATTTGCAGATGTTTTGCTTTCTTTTCTTGTCCTCACCGAATCCTACTAACCTCCTCTTTGTGGTAGGCATGTGCATAAGTGTCAAGTGTCTATATATATTCTTCTGCACATTCTTTGCTCCCTGCCCATAGATACACATTTCCTCTTCTTCTTCTTCTTGTTCTTGTTCTTGTGTCCTGACTGTTCTTGATAAAGCTCAGATTTGGGAATTGGACCACATCATAACATTCTTTGGCAGAGTTTGTGAAGGTACATTTGGAGTTTGGATTAATTTCAGGTGGTTAGCTGTTCTTGATCGTTCTTCTTGTTGTTGGTTGCTGGAAGATTCGAAGATTTTTTTTGTGTGTGTGTGTAAATTGTGGTGTTCTTGTTTGGCATTGTTGCTCAGTTAGTTGATCATGGCGAGCCGGGAGGAGAGCGGCAATGGCGGTGGCGGTGGCGCGACGCCGGCGGCGGATTACCGGAGCTCGGACAGCCGGAGCTCGAGCCGGCGGAGCACGCGGTTCAAGGAGGACAACGAGTACGTGGAGATCACGCTCGACGTCAAGGGCGACGACACGGTCGCCATCCAGAGCATCCGCAACGGCGCCGACATGCCCGAGGTCGCCCTCCTCGCGCGCGGCCTCGCGCAGCAGCCGCCGCCGTCCGCGGCGCCCGGCCCCGGCGGGCTCTCGTCGCGGCTCAAGGCGGTGAGGACCGAGCTGAGGCGGATCGCGTCGTGGAAGTTCCCCAGCGGCGTTCTCAGCGGCGGCGGCGGCGGCGGCGACGCGCCGGGCAACGGCAACGACCGCCGCCCTCGCCTCGACCGGAGCATGACCGGCGCCGCCCGCGCGCTGCGCGGGCTCCAGTTCCTCAACTCCAGCGCCGTCACCAATGGCTGGCCGGAGGTGGAGAAGAGGTTCGAGCGCCTCGCCGTCGACGGCTTCCTCCTCCGCTCCCGCTTCGGCCAGTGCATCGGTCAGCTCAAGCTCAAGCTCACCTCTGAAAATTCCTCTAAATTTCTGATGAATTCGAACTGAAACCGACTGAATTTTCTCGCCAAATCGTGTTCCAGGAATGGTTGGATCCGAGGAGTTTGCGGTTCAGATCTTCGACTCGCTTGCGCGGCGGCGAGGGATCACGGCTCAGTTGCTGACCAAGGATCAGCTCCGGGAGTTTTGGGAGCAGCTCTCTGATCCAGGATTTGATGCCAAGCTGCAGACTTTCTTTGACATGTATGTGTTCAGTTCTATCAAAAATTCAAGTTTACATTCAGTCTTGAAGTAGTAGAATTTTAGTCGTTCAAATATTGTTAGTTGCACATGTTTTGTCTTGTAATAGTGAAATTTGCCACTGAACCTTTTGATTAGTATGCACATAGATTCAGTTATGACTTTTGGAAAGGGACTCTGAAGTTTGTTGACTGACATCTGAGTGCTGAATTTCTTGCAGGGTTGACAAGAATGCAGATGGTCAGATCACTGAAGAGGAGCTCAAAGAGGTAAGAAACTGGATCAAAGCAACACAAAAAAAAAATTAAGCATAATTTTTCCATGTAATTTGAAGCAGATTGAGGATTCTGAATTTTTCTTGCATTTTTCAGGTCCTCACCCTGACTGCCTCTGCAAACAAGCTGTCCAAGATCCTGGAGCGCGTCGACGAGTACACCGCGCTGATCATGGAGGAGCTCGATCCCGATCAATTAGGCTACATAGATGTACATACTCTCACCCTCAAATCCTCCACATATTTGAAAAAATATATATATCTGAATTTGACATTGTTAAGAACAAGAATCTATGCAATTCTGAATCTGAAATTGTTCAGAGTACTAGAGTAGCAGTATCTGCAATTCTGAATTCTGACACTGTTCATGGTCACCTCCCATTTCCAAAGATATCAAACCTGGAGTCGCTGCTGCTGCTGCCGCCGTCGCAGGCGCCGTCGAAGCTGGTGACGCACAGCTCCAACATCAGCCAGCTGATCAGCCAGAAGCTGGTGCCGACGCACGACCGGAACCCGCTCCGGCGGGGGCTCCGGCGGCTGTCCTACTTCATGGAGGACAACTGGAAGCGGGTGTGGGTGATGGCGCTGTGGCTGGCCATCAACGCCGGCCTCTTCACCTGGAAGTTCATGGCGTACAAGCGCCACCCGACGTTCGACGTCATGGGCTACTGCGTCTGCGTCGCCAAGGGCGGTGCCGAGACCACCAAGTTCAACATGGCCCTCATCCTCCTCCCCGTTTGCCGGAACACCATCACCTGGCTCCGTTCTCGCACCAAGCTCGGCGCCGTCATCCCCTTCAATGACAACATCAACTTCCACAAGGTAACACTCTTTCACACAAGTATTTTTACGGTGATCTCTACTGTTAGTAGAATATGTACCGCTACTAGTATTATCACCAGTAGAAGCGATCTAAATCATTGATTTATAAATTCTACTGGTAGAAACAATATCGTACCATCGATAGTTAAGGTTGTACTATAAATAGACATTGTCCATTTGACGAGGGAGAAAAACAAAATAAAAGGTTCAGATTTATCCTATTACAATATTACCGGTAGAGAACATCGTAAAAACTCAGTAAGGTCATTATTGACAGTTGTCTTCTCCGGTGACGGCAGGTGGTGGCAGGGGGAGTGGTGGTAGGGGTGGCGCTGCACGGGGTGACTCACCTGACGTGCGACTTCCCGAGGCTGCTGCACGCGAGTGATGCGGCGTACGAGCCGATGAAGAAGTACTTCGGGCAGACACGGATCCCGGACTACTGGTGGTTCGTGCGCGGCGTAGAGGGGATCACCGGCGTGATCATGGTGGTGCTCATGGCCATCGCCTACACGCTGGCGCACCCGTGGTTCCGCCGGAGCAAGCTTAGTGACAGCAACCCGCTGAAGCGGCTCAGCGGTTTCAATATGTTTTGGTACTCCCACCACCTCTTCGTCATCGTCTACATCGCCTTCGTTGTCCATGGCGTCTGCCTCTACATCAACCGGACTTGGTGGAAGCAGACGGTGAGTGAGCCAGCTTCTGGTCGATTTGCGCCCGTCGGGTTCTTTGTGGTCTGAATTCTAAAAAATGTTGCTAACTTTTGTGTGATTTTTCAGACATGGATGTACCTTGCCATCCCTATCCTGCTCTACGCCGGTGAGCGGATTTTCCGGGCTCTGAGGTCTCATGGCTTCACCACCGTAAGGATTGAGAAGGTAACCCAACTCTTTTTTGTTTAACATCAAAAAGAAAATTAGTTCTGTAGCACTGAAAGTTTATGGGAAAAAAAACTTTATTAGCACAGAAAGATCTTTCTGTTCACTTTGACACGACAATTTCTTTCCCTGCAAATGTATACTGATATGGTACTGAATTCTGTTCAAGGAAATTGAATTAAAATGGGGTAAATTTGAAACGTGCAGGTTGCAATCTATCCTGGCAACGTGATAGCCATCCACATGACCAAGCCCCATGGGTTCAAGTACAAGAGTGGCCAGTACATCTATGTTAACTGCGGCGAGGTCTCGCCATTCGAGTGGTAAATCCTCAAATTCCTCAAAATTCTCCGGTCGCGGCACGCGAACCAATACTGGTTTTCACCTGACGATTGTTCACAACTGATCATGCCAATGCTTGTGTCATGACAGGCACCCGTTCACCATCACCTCGGCTCCCGACGACAGCTATCTCAGCATGCATATCCGGTGCCGCGGTGACTGGACCTCGAGCTTCAGGGCCATCTTCTCTCAGGCAAGCTGATCGCCGAGCCACCATGGCGAATCGGGGAAAATTTCGGGTGCTCTGCTTTGTGAAAATTTGTGGATGATGATGGCTAACAATGTGGTGTTCTTGGTTGCAGATATGCAGGCCTCCGATGAACGGCCAGAGCGGCCTCCTCCGGGCTGACTGCATGTCCATGGAGCACCATTCAAGGTGCGCTTTTTTTCCCCGGAATTTTGAACAAATTTTTAGTTTTTGAGATGAATTCGCTCCAATGATTTGTTCTTTTGAAAAAAAGGGAGTAAAATTTAAAAACCTACAACTATTTTTTGTCAAAATTACCAATTTGCTGCAATTTCAAAATTCAGAAAACAACAACATTTTTTTTGTCAAATTAGATATTTGCCACAATTTCAGCTTGGCCAATTCAAGAGGACAACAACAATAATGCACGACTTTACCTGTAAGCCGGCCCTTTCAAAAATGATTTTGTCAGAGAGCTACAATAATACCTAAAGTCGCCCGAATAATTGCTGCTTTACGAAATTTACTCCAAAAAAAATCATTCTGATTCCATTTTGACATTTGACATTTCAAAAACGATTTTATCATAAAGCTACAATAATACCTAAACTTATTCAAATAATTGCAATTTTTTTTGGGTGAAATTTGCTCGAAATATGAACTCAAATTTTGGCATCTTGTGCAGGTTCCCCAAGCTCCTGATCGACGGGCCGTACGGCGCGCCGGCGCAGGACTACTGGAAGTACGACGTCCTCCTCCTCATCGGCCTAGGCATCGGCGCCACCCCTCTCATCAGCATCGTCAAGGACGTCCTCAACCACATCTACGACGACCCCGAGTCCGCCGCCTCGCCGCACACCACCAATGGCGGCGGCGCCGCGGCCGCGGCGAGGAGGGCGTTCATGACGAAGCGCGTCTACTTCTACTGGTGCACGCGGGAGGAGGGCTCGTTCGAGTGGTTCCGCGGCGTGATGAACGAGGTGGCCGACCGCGACGCCGGGCGCGAGTTGATCGAGCTCCACAACCACTGCACCAGCGTGTACGAGGAGGGGGACGCGCGGTCGGCGCTGGTGACGATGCTCCAGGCGCTCCACCACGCCAAGAACGGCGTGGACGTGGTGTCCGGGACGCGGGTGCGCACCCACTTCGCGCGCCCGAGCTGGCGCGACGTGTTCAAGCGCGTCGCCGTGAACCACCAGGGGCAGCGCGTCGGCGTCTTCTTCTGCGGCGACCAGGCGCTCACGCCGGAGCTCCGCCGCCTCGCCCAGGACTTCTCCCACAAGACCACCACCAAATTCGTCTTCCACAAGGAGAATTTCTAGATCATCGGATTCATCGTCGTCAGCTGCCTCTCCGGCGGATAATTGAGTTCTTTCATCCTCTGAGCGAGCTCAGATTAAGTGTACAATTATATACAGATTAATGGTGAGAGATAGGACTACATATTTTAGTGAGTGATTGGTTGTTCGTTCGTTTGTTTTTTTTTCTCCTTCTGTGTAGGTAGAAGAATGGTAGGGGGAGTGATGATTAAGTTAGTTGATGTTTTTTTTGTTTCACAAGTTTGTACAAAATTACCAGAAAACGATGATATAAAGCTTACCACAAAGTGCTTTTTTTTGTTGTTGTTGTTGATATACAGATATAGTGCTTCATTCGGTACTGTTTGTAGGTTGTTTCGATAAGAGTAGTCAAAGTAATTTCATCCTCCTGGGATATCCGCTTGTTTAGTACATTTCATCTAAATAGTCCTAAAAAATTTTTGAAAAAAATCGGTAAGATATATTAATAGAAAATATATCACTTCAGAAACATGTAAATTAAAATTCAACTTACAAACTTTTGTAAGTTGTAATAAAAATAACAAATATATAGTTGCAAATGTACGATAATTATTTTTAATTTATTTTATTCTTTTTGTTGTAACTTAGAGAAGTTAAATTTGGTTTTGTATGTTTGTGTAGTAATATGTTTTATATTAATCTATGTTAATTTTTTTTATAACTATTTATATGACATGAAAAAAAACGAGGGAACGTCGTCTCGAGGAATGAAAATCCATATATAAATTTTGTCCCGACTTGTCATTTGAATCCATCAAGTTGCAAACACACGTTAAGAAAAACAAAAAGAGTATCTGGGTCCTTAATCTTAGTTCAATGTACTCTTTAAAATGAAGATTAAGTTTTTTTTTTTCCGTAAAACGAGATGGTATTAACGTATGATTGATTGAGTTCTAATTATTACAAACTTAAAAAATAAATTAATATGATATTTTAGAGCAACTTTCATATAGAAAGTTTTCGTATGAAACACACCGTTTAGCAGTTTGAAAAACGTGCCACGAAAATCTTAATCTTCATCCAACTCTTGTTAGAGAAAAAAATGGGACTTGGATGAAAAGTAGTTGTCTTCCTAGAGTTTAAATTTTGTTTTAAATTAGTTGTCACTTTAGAGTACTAGTTGTAGCTATGTAAATAATCTCATGGGCTTATTTGGTTGAGTGTCAACCTTTGTCAAAGTCGTGGCAATCAAGTTTGACCAATTAAGTCTAGTGTTTGGTTCATGTTACAAGTGAGTTACGCCATAATTTTTTAGCAAGCTGGTCCGCTTATTTTTTTTTGCCACAACTTACCACAATTGTAGCTGACAAATTCTTAGTCATACAATGTGTGGCATGCACACTTAGCCAAATATTTTATGGTAAACTATAAAAGTTATCTAAACAACCCCTTAGTTCAAGGTTTTTTGGAGCTAGGTATCTTCAACTTTACAAATATATAGATCTGGACCTACCTCCATGCTCCATCGATGGGAAAAACTGTAGTACATGAAAATTGTTTTCATATAACTCACAATTAAAAAAAAAAAAAGCTCGAGAAAGGAAACATGCAGCCCGTTGGCCCCACCAGTCAGCCCCCCCATGGTTTCCCCCGGGCCCCGCTCCCCATCTCCACTTCTTCGTTCTTCCCTTTCCTCCCAACCCTTCCACCATTTCAAATTTCAAATCCATCCTTCGTCTCCTCTCCTCTCCTCCTCCCCTTCCACCCCACGCGCCCCGCACCCACCCACGCGCCGCGCCCTAACCCTAACCCTAACCCTAACCCTACTCCTCTCGCTCGCCATGTCCGAGCCCGCGTCGCCCCCACCGGCCATGCCCGAGGACGCCGCGCCGCCGCAGCCGCAGCCGGAGCCGGCGGTTCCAGCGGGGGAGGAGGCCGCCCCGTCTCTGGAGGTGAGCGCCCTCCCCTCCTCCTTCCACCCTGACCTTCGATTTCGGTAGTAGCCGCTGGGGGCTGGATGGATTTCTAACCTTCGGTTTGTTTGTTTTTTTTTTTTGGCAGAGGAAGGAGGAGTTGCTGCCGGTGGAGGAGAAGATCTCGGTGAGGATCCCCCTCTCTCCCGCTAGGGCTTTATATATACTAACCTTTATTTGTTTTCGCCTTTTATTTTGGCATTCGATCGATCAATGATGCCGGTGAGGCTTACTGTGTGCGGTGGTGTATATATGGGTTTATTAGCGGGTAATTATGTTACCGAAGATTCAGGCTGCTGTGATTTGAAAGCTTCTCTGTTTTCTGTGGCACTGATGACCACCGAAAAATGGGCGGAGAAACTAATTATGTTTTAGAAACTAAAATGCTAATAAATACAGCTGGAGTGAGGTTGTAATTAAGAGTTGCTGCTTCAGGCAACAGATATACGCAGATTAGTATCATGGTTATAGCTGTGATTCCTGAGAATGCTTGCGGCATCAGCTGTTAGGGAAAGGGGATGCGTTGCTGTCATGTTTGAAAAGTGATTAATTACCTTTAGCCACTACCTGAACTACACTAGTTCGTTGCTTTAATGCCAGCATATACTTTCCTCAAAAATCCAAATCACGGGTCTATGACAGTTGCCTTCAAAGTTCAAATTATCTGCCTCATTAGCGCACAACTCTGGATATGGTTGTGGAGACAACACTCGTGCTGTCAATGCACCATCAATATCAAGCTTTTGTATACATGGATACTTAGAGTTCAAGGATCAACGCAGATTTCGTAAGCCAATTTCCACAAAAATAGGGTGTGGAGATAAATCTCTAAGCAAAACAGTGAGTTGTTACTCATGTGCCTTCCTCTATCAGGAGACAATGATAAATACCACGGATTCTTAGTTGAGGTAAGCATGCACAATTGCACATTATCACTGTGTACTGGACTGTAAGAATTTAAGGGGTTATACCATGGTTAGGGGCAGGCCTCAGGCTGCTTGGCCATGACCTGAGGTCTGGGAATAAAGGGCCATTAACTTGTGCTCATTTTCACCATGGTAGGGCAAAGGCAGGCCAAAATAGGCTGGTTAGCCTGTGCCTTGGCCCCATATTTGGGTCTGCCACTGACCATGACGTTAGTTATTGGATGTTTCCCATATACTGTCACATGTTCCCTGACTGATTTGTTTGCTAATTATTTTTGGGCATAAAATTACTCTCTGATTTAATTTTTCCATTCCCTATTGATTCTGTAGTGCTTTTTTTGGCTTATAGAAAAAAGTGTTGACATTTCTTTTGTGTTGTTGACATTTCTTTTGTGTCTGAGTGACAGGAATTAGATGAATCACAGTCACAGCTTATGGGGAGACTTCGGGGACTCAAGGAGGTATGTTGAAAACTTGAAATATCGTGAAAATGTTCCTAGTTATCTGCATTCTTCTTATTACATCTCTATTCATTTTGTTATTAATGTTTTTAACTTTTGGGAATTAGTTTTTGTTCAGTCAACATGAATGACATACGGTCTCTTGTGGTTTGTGCTGTTCTTTTATACGCATTTTAACAATCCTTAGGGCAAGTGGGATGATTTGAAATAGAAATAGATTATTTTTTTGTGGCACTTGTGTGTGTAATACCTAAATTTTGTAATGGCATGAAGAATTATGGTTTGAATATCTTGCTGCCTAGACTAGAAAGGAACAATGTGCATGCTTTTCAATATTATAAAATATTCTTGTTCTTGCCTTTTCTTTTGTTGTTCCCATTGAAATTGTAAGTATTGGTATGGAACTGAACTAATAATAATTTTTTTTCAGGATTTGCTGAATTGGAGGAGCAGTTTAGATACACAAGTGACAAAATACAAAAGCGTAAGTTTCTCCACCCTTCAATTGATGCTATATATTATCCGTGTTGGGGAAAATCCTGAGTCCTATGTGTTCTTCCTTGTAGTGGTTCCATCCATGCCTATCCTTTGCATACCCAATTTTCAGAATAACTCCCTCTATTCCATAATGTAAGGCATGGTCAAACTTGGCACGGTCTGCAAAACTAAACTTTGACTTATAATTTCTCATATACTATAAAGTTTGTAGTGACAAAATTATAACCATATGAAAGTATATTGAAATACCAATCCAATGATATTATTTTCAGCAAATAAAATTCAATTTATAGTATACTAATCGTTAGTCAAATGTTTTTAAAGTTAAATCTTCAAATGCATGCGCACCTTACATTATGGAATGGAGGGAGTAACTTTTGTATTTAACAGCTGGAAGGAGAGGATTCTTCTTCTTTTTTTATTTAATCTGGGCTGTATGTTCTATAGATGAATATGCTAATTCTGAAAAAAAGAAATGAAACTCCACTGGAGATATTTTAATACAATAAAGCTATATGCTTCTGTTATCTTGGAGCCTTTATCAGTTGGCATGTTCAAAAATGCGTCAAGTGGTTTGGTGAGGTTATATGCATGCTTGCAAATTTCTGCATTGGTTGAACCTGCACTCATGCGTGTGGCTCACATGCTATAGCACAGTTATTGGAATTTGTTTACTGATCTTATTTTCATTTGATGTCTTTCAGGAACTCTCTGATATCAAAACTGCGCTGAATAGCGAAATTGAACAGCTGAGATCAGTAAGCATATGCACCCATGTTCTGCGACAGATCTCAACTTGTATCTAAATTTTTTTGCTCTATTTACAAGCTGTGATCTCCTTCCCCCTCTTATAGGATTTTCAAGAATTGAGGACCACCCTTAAGAAGCAGCAGGAAGATGTATCAAATAGTTTGAAGAATTTGGGGGTAATTTCCTCTGTTTTGATGAGGATGCAGTATTTTGTGTTGAATGATTGCTAAAGATTTTGCATGCTCAGTTATATCAATCATTTTCTTTCAGCTACAAGATGCTACTGACAATGATGGGAACAAAGGAAGTGGTGAGGAGAATGCAAGTGAGGGTGTCTCAGATACCCTAGGGAACCTGAAAGTATGAATCTGTCAAGCTTAATTTACTTGCTTAAAGATTGGTTGTTTTGACAGAAAATTTCAGACAAGTAGTCACAACCATAGGATAGTCAAGTGACTTGTATTTTAGTAGTGGTATTATCTGCATTCTAAAACCAATTTCATAAAAAATGATCTGTGACCTATGCTTTTCCCCCTTTCCAGTTGGATGATACTCCAAAAAACCATGATGAAAGCAGTGATGCCAATGATGAAAAGAATGTAAGTGTTTGTGTTAGATAAAGCAGATTATTAATAATGGCTGATCTTGCTTCTGTTTAATATCTTCCTTATTTCTCTGCACCCGCATCCATTATTTTCTTAGAGGAGCAAAGCACCTGAGAATCATCTTTGACAAGCATATGATTAAAACCTTATTCAGCATCCGCAATTTTAGTATGAAGGGAATATCTGTCCCGTGTGATGGTTTTGTTTTCTGAACTTGATCACACGGTTCCTTGACATCTTCCTTGTGGCTGCAGGAAACCATTGCTGAAGATGGCACGGTCGATAAAACTGTTAAGGCTGAGAGTGCAAGTGATGAATGAAGTAGCGGAGGAACCAGAAGTAGAACTTGGGCCGCTTCTTTTTCGTGGCTCAGCTGTAGTAATTTTTAGAACAGAGATAACTTTGGTTCCTGAAACGAGTCCACGCTCTCTGATGGCTTCGTCGTGTAGTGTTGTTAATCGCTGTCATGACTTGTGAAATCCCAGTTCTCTGGAATGGCCGTAGTAACAATTTTATTGCTATCAGCAAGTTATCTAAAGAATAGCCACTGGAATTTTGCCTTTAAAAATTCCAGATATTTTTCTCAAATCAGTTATCTATGTGATGCCAGCCATTTTAAGGCGGAAGAATGATGGGTTTTTTTTTTTTTGGTAGGCCATGGTTGGTATTGTTGACTGTGGCTATGGATGAAATAGTATTCATTTGAACGGTGAGTTTGAATCAAATCAGCCAATATAAAATTGGTTAGCTTTGTATACATGCTAGTGACTTTTCAGGTAACCAACGCAGTATAATGCTTTGTTTTGAATCTGTAATGTAAGCCAGTAGTAATTCTTAAGTTCCCAACAATACCTATGTATCAGACAAAAGGAATGAAAGCGAATGGCGACATGTGGATGAAATATCTCAGCCAGGACTTTCTCCCAATAGGAAAATTATTGTGAAAAGAGGGTAGATATATGCCCGCTTTTAGTTGTTGTTTTCAAGACTAAGAGCAAGTTTAATAGTAAAGCCAACTATTAGCTCCAATTCGTCTATAGTCAATTTAATAGCCAATTTATGCAATAGTTACCTACAAACATATACTACATTATTAATATCAGTCTCATCTGTTATACACATATTGTGTCTTGGAGTCTGTGCTGCAGCTGACTACAAATCTACAGCACCACTGCTCTTCTCTCCTCTCTTTTACCTTCTTAACATGTGTGTGTAGCTGACTTATAGTCTGCTATTGTACCAGCTCTAAGACGTGTAATAAAATCCTTTTTCGGCGATGTCCATGTAATTATTGTGAAGTTTGTTGTAAAAGGGGTAGATAAAATGCCCATGTCCTTATTTCTAGGCTAAGACATAAATATTGTTCACGATGTTAGCATGCTACATGTACTACCCTAGTATCATCAAAGCCTTTTTAACCTACCAGTATCATCCCTAATAAATTAGGTACCACCGTATTATGTACTTCCTCCATTTCAAAATATATCTAATCAATGTGTACAACTGTACACATGCCCTAAAAGCATAAGAACAATAACGATAACATGACTATTACTCCATCCGTTTCACAATGTAAGTCATTCTAGCATTTCACACATTCATTTTGATGTTAATGAATCTAGCTAGATATATACTCCATCCGTTTCACAATGTAAGTCATTCTAGCATTTTTCACATTCATATTAATGTTAATGAATCTAGACATATATATCTAACTAGATTCATTAACATCAATATGAATGTGGGAAATGCTAGAATGACTTACATTGTGAAACGGAGGAAGTAGAAGACATCAGACTTATTTTCCACAGAGCAACCTCAAGAATATAAATGGAGTTGTGAGTACTTGTTAGGGTTCAAATTATTTGACTTGTGTTAACCACAAATGTTACGCATGCACGCGTACACTCTGAGTAGGACCTAAGGAATTTTTCACCGAACTCCGTCCAAAAGAGTTTGTTAGAGAGGTACACATCCATGAATTTGGAGAAGTATATTTACTTTCCTATTTTTTTTACAATATTGTACATACAACAAATAATTTACTTTCCTATTTTTTTTTACATAATGCACATACAACAAATAATATACTCTATTATGTGATAAAAAAGTAACAGTAAATAATAATAATATAATTTCAAAGTCATTTCTTAATGGGGAGGTTTGGACACGAGTCACAACCCAACCCATAAACCCCATCCACTCAGGAGCTTCTCTCATTCCTCATGGCCTCTCCCTCCCTCCTAACCCGTTTCCTTCCAGATAAGGCTATATAAATACCCATCATCTCCTTCCTCTCTTCCTCGCTCTCCCCACCCCTCTCGGCCTCTCCTCGGTGGTCGACGGCTTCACCGGACCGGACCGGACCACCGCTCGCCGCCGGGCACCCCCGCGCCGCGGTCTGTATGTCAAAGGTGACGCCCGCCGCCTCATGCACCCGCCGTTCGCCGTTCGCGCGGTGACGCTTAGGTTCATTCTTGCCCGGTGCGCGCCACGTGTTTGTGGATATGCCCGCCCGTGCGCGCGCGCGCGAGAGAGCACGAGCACGAGCGCTAGTGACCAGTGTTCGTTCATTGTCCGTGCTGCTCTGCGTGCGGTGGCTTGGCTCTAGGTTCTTGGGCATGGTGGTGGTGGGAGTTGCTGTGCTATGTAGTGTGTGGGCTCGGTTCCATTTCCGTGGCTGGTTCGCGCGAATTGGCGGCGCGCGCTGCAGCTGTCGCGGCTGTACTGTAACACTTTTGAATTGATAGTAGCGTTGGCTGTGTGTAGTGCGGTTCTGCGTTAGGCTCTTGCTTTTAGTGATTGAATGGCGGCGGGTACTCTGCTTTGCCATGTTTTTCGATGCTCTGAGTGAAATGAAATGAAATGAAACTGAATTCGCTTCCTGTTTGTGGTCTTGCTGAAATTGGATAAGAGAGATTTTTGGGTGAGAGATTGCATACATGATGGGAAGTCTTGCGCTTTTCCTTAGGTGTGCTATTCTTTTGCTCATGATATCTTATGCTTGTAGTGCTCTCTCAATTGTTGTTTCAGAATATTGTGGTGCATTTATCTCGTACTGTTGTTTGTTTACCTGATTACTGGATATCGGTTCTCATTGCCTTTTTGTCTAACAAAGTTATCTACACTCGTGCAGGGTACAGAAACAATCAATATTCTGATATAGTTGCTGGGAATTTCAATCCCTAAATTCAAAATGACCCCGGTGGTTCATTGCTCTGTTGGCAATATCAGCCTGTTCCACATCGGCAGTTTCAGGCCAAGCCATGAAATCCAAATAAGGAGGTTCCGCAGCACAGAGAGGTATTCAAGAGTACCTTCACGTAGGCTGCTGCAACCGCAACGAGCATTCAACTTGATCAGTATTTACAAGAGAAGCAGCTGGTCCTCTGCCCGCAGGCCAAGAACTCTGTCAGCAGCAACTGTTGGGACTGATGTTACTGTAGAGGATCCGAATCCACCACCTTCCGGAGAAACTTCTGAAGAAAGCTCTGAGGATACAGCACCTGACACTGCTGAAGCAAGTGAGCAAGCTGAGGCAAGCACTTCTTCCATTCCCAAAGCAGGACGAAACATAAGAAAGAGTGAGATGCCACCACTGAATGATGAGGATCTAGTTCCTGGTGCATCTTTTACTGGGAAGGTTAGGTCTATCAAACCATTTGGTGTATTTGTTGATATTGGAGCATTCACTGAAGGCCTTGTTCATATCTCTCGAGTAAGTGATGGATTTGTAAAAGATATATCTTCCCTCTTCACTGTCGGGCAAGAGGTGTCAGTGAGATTAGTGGAAGCAAATAAAGAGACAGGGCGCATCTCATTGACAATGCGAACAGGTGGTGATTATGTCAAGCCTAAAACAGAAACACCTAAGGCTGCAAGTGGCGGGAGGAATACCACTGCAACCACGTCCAGAGGCTCGCCAAGGCAAACGAGGGAAAGAGATGAAGCCAAGAGCATGGGCGAAACAAACTATGTGCAAGGACAATTTCTGGATGGCGTTGTGAAAAATTCAACAAGAGCAGGGTCATTTGTGACCCTACCTGATGGAAGCGAAGGATTCCTTCCCAGAGAAGAGGAGGCAGTGGCATTGTTCACCCTTATCGGACATTCTGCACTGGAAGTTGGTCAACAGGTAAGGGTGAAAGTATTGAACGTAGTACGAGGCCAGGTCACGTTGACAATGAAGGAGGGAGAAGATGATGAAGAGGATCTGGCTTCATTAAACACACAGCTGAAGCAGGGTTGGTCCAGAGGGACCAATGCATTTGAGCTAGCTTTCCGTAGGAATAAGGAAATCTCTGCATTTTTGGATCAGAGGGAAAAGATAATAGTTCCAGATGTACAAGAAGCTGCTGTTGCATCAGTAGGTACTGAACTTGATGCAGAAGTAGGAATTGAGCAAAGTCCAGGCAAGGAACCTGAGACAGGCAATGCTGAATCAGTTGCAATCGATAGTTCTATAACGGAGGTCAAGGAGACTGATAGTATAGCTGCAGTGGAGAAGGATAGCGAAATTAGCAAGACTGAATCAGTTGAGACTGCTAGTTCAGTTGTAATTTCTGAAGATGATAGCACAGTTGATGGCAAACTCGTTGAACCAACTGCTTCAGTTTCTGCAACTGAAACTGAGATTAAAGAAGATAGCTCTGAGGGATCTGTCACCACTGAGCCTACAGAAGCTGCTTCAACAGAATTTGTCACCGCAGTCGTTGAGGAAAGCGCTCCGACTGCTAGTTCAGTTGAAACTTCTGAAGATGATAGCACAGTTGATGACAAACTCGTTGAGCCTACTGCTTCAGTTTCTGCAACTGAAGCTGAGAGCAAAGAAGATAGCTCTGAGGGATCTGTTGCTTCAACAGAATCTGTCACCGCAGTCGTTGAGGAAAGCGCTCCTGTGTCATCAGTAGCAATTGAAGTTCCTGCTCCTGAAGCATCAGAGGCCTCCGCTCAGGAGATAATTGAGGATTCTACTACTGTGGAAGGTGCCGCCGATGATCAAACTGTAGAATCTGATAGTCCACCTCCAGAAGGTGTTGAGCTGTCCTCGAATGGGGCTCCAGACAGCTCTATTGCTGAGGATAAGCCTGATGAACCAGAAGAATCGTTGATAGTAGAAGAGGTTCCAGTAACTGCAAGTAGTGAGTCTGAGGATAAAGAACCTGCTGCGGTACCTGAAGAAGTAGCAGCCTCAAGTGAGAAAACTGCAGATGTTGCTGTTGCAGGAGCTGAAGCAAGCACGGCCACAGGTCAGCAGTAATTTCGTCAACCAGATCTTACGGGCCTGACGTGTAGTAATTTCATGAGCCATATTCTGTCTGCAAAAGGCTTTTCGAGCAACTCTACCTAACTAGGAACAGAATGTTAGGATTAGTTGCATGTAAAACATTCAAGTGACTGCTTTTTCCAGTTGTTTACATTTTTTTTCTTGTATTAAATTTCTTCATTAATGTTCTGTGGTTTAATATGATGGTCAAAGGATCAATCGATGCCAGTGATTGGTTTCTTGCTATCTCAATGGTTAGCTCAGTTGGTATTCTTTGGCTCTAGAGGATCATGCAATGTTCAAATGTTATCTCAGCTGCCACTAAATTTTGGGCTATCTTGGACAAGGCTCAACAAGACACTTTGATCTGACTTCAGTTCTGGGATGTTAAAATAGGAAGCTTCTTGTTATTCTTCTGCATTTGTCGCAATTGCTGTTTGTTCTGATTTTCGTTTAGCATAAAATGGTTGCCACCTATTTCCCTCAATAATTTGTCTACAACAATAACAAAAGGCTTTAAATTTGTTCTCTAGTAAATTTAAAGGGAAAAATAATAATAATCAAGGGTTGCTTCTCTGTGACAGAAATTCATGTGATGGATTACTTCATTTCCAAAGTGTCTTTACTATGAGATATCAGAAGTTAGTCCTAAAACTTGTCTACTTATGTAAATTAACAGATGTAACTAACTTTACGGTTAGATTTCTTGTTCTCAATAATTGCATTAGTCTCCTTTCTTTTCCTGTGTACATGCTCTGCTCCACAATTTCTGCAGCACAAATTCACTGCATATTTATTTTGTTGGCAAACTGTTAGAACAACACTAGAAAGACTGATGGTTCTTTTGTGCATCTGCAGCAACTATTTCTCCTGCTCTTGTCAAGCAATTGCGTGAAGCAACTGGAGCAGGCATGATGGACTGTAAGAAGGCTCTTGCAGAATCAGGGGGTGACATTGAGAAAGCACAAGAATTCCTCCGCAAAAAAGGTTTGGCGGCTGCTGACAAGAGGGCTGGCAGGGCCACTGCAGAGGGAAGAATTGGTTCTTACATACATGACAGCAGAATCGGTGTTCTTATTGAAGTGAATTGCGAGACTGACTTTGTATCCCGAGGTGACATCTTCAAAGAGTTGGTAGACGATCTAGCCATGCAAGTCGCCGCTTGCCCTCAAGTACAGTACATTTCTCTTGATGACGTCCCTGAGGAGGTTATGAAGAAGGAGACAGAGCTGGAGATGCAGAGGGAGGACCTCTTGTCAAAGCCAGAGCAGATCCGGTCTAAGATTGTAGAGGGCCGTGTAAAGAAGAGGCTTGGAGAATATGCATTGCTGGAGCAACCCTTCATCAAGAATGACAAGGTCACAATCAGTGAATGGGTGAAGCAAACTATTGCCACAATTGGAGAGAACATGAAGGTCAACAGATTTGTCCGGTACAATCTCGGTGAAGGGTTGGAGAAGAGAAGCCAGGATTTTGCTGCTGAAGTTGCCGCCCAGACAGCCGCGAAGGCACCGCCAGCTGCTCCTCCAAAGGATGATAAGCCTGAGGAAACAGCAGAAACTGAAGAGAAGTAAATTCCCCCTCAGCCTCATCTTGCTGTGTTTCATCTTTTTGTGGTTGCGCATAATTTCTGCATCAGAACACGTTTACTGTTTAAGCATTTCTAACTTTGCATCTATTCAACCGACATTTGCTATGTTGTTTGCAGGAAACCAGCTGTGGCAATTTCAGCTGCATTGGTAAAGCAACTCCGAGACGAAACTGGTGCTGGTATGATGGACTGCAAGAAAGCACTAGCTGAGACAGGCGGCGACATTCAGCAGGCTCAGGAGTTCCTCAGGAAGAAGGGCCTGTCATCTGCAGACAAGAAGTCCTCTCGCCTAACCGCCGAAGGCCTAATTGGCGCCTACATCCATGACAATCGGATTGGTTGCATGATTGAGATCAATTCCGAGACCGACTTCGTGGCTCGCAACGAGAAGTTCAAGGAGCTGGTGAACGACCTCGCGATGCAGGTGGTGGCATGTCCACAGGTTGAGTATGTCTCCATAGAGGACATCCCAGAGAGTGTTGTCATCAAGGAGAAAGAGATTGAGATGCAGAGAGAGGACCTTCAGTCCAAACCTGAGAACATCAGGGAGAAGATCGTCGAAGGCCGGATATCGAAGAGGCTCGGCGTGCTGGCCCTCCTGGAGCAGCCTTTCATCAAGGATGACAGCAAGACGGTGAAGGATCTTGTGAAGGAGACGATCGCCACCCTTGGGGAGAACATCAAGGTACGGAGGTTCACCCGGTACACCCTTGGTGAGAACTGATTGAGGAGGTGATCTCTAGTCTCAATCCTGACATCAGGAGTTGGGCATATTTTGATTCATGGAAGTTCATAGCTGTTGGTAGTATGATAAGTTTCCATCTGTAATTCTGTATCACCTGTTATATTGCTGCCCCTTTTTTTCAGCTGCTGTTATTACTGTTGCTGGTTACAGAACACATTTTTGAGCACTCCTTTGTAGATGACAAGAGAGATCAATATTGTCAATATAAACATTACGGCAAATCAAAACTGTATCTGGTTGTGTTTGACATCAGAGTTCTTACTGAATCCATCACTATCAAATTTTACATTGGTTTGCATACAGAAACATTGATCCAAGTGACATTTCTTACCAGAGGTAAGTGCATAGACTACATTATGTTAACTTAAAAGGCACCTGAACATGATATACTCCAACATGCTCCAGATTACATGTGTAAATGGTGAACCTGACAAACATCTTCTAAGAAAACTGATTTCTGCTCTGTGTGACTGCTCTGTTGCTCAAAACCAGACCCAGTCTTGATTCTGAATGTGGGTACCGACAATAAATGGTACAATGCCATATAATTTACAGAGGCTCAGCAGTATCCCTAAGATTTACAGGCTACAAACACGCTGTATTAATTTTTCCAAGCAGAGATCAAATCTTTCACTACATGCTCATGTGAGTTACAGGAGCTTCTACATCCAGTGCGATTCAAGAATCTGCATGCCTTCTTATCGCTGTTAAAAGAGCTAGAACCCATTAATCCAAAACAGCAGCTCGGGGAGAAGATCGCTCGCCGAACGACATAGAAGCGAGAGATGATGCCCACACCCTGCTGTTCATAGCTCCACCCATGAGCCTGCATTTGCTCCAGATCTTCCTCAGGTCTACAGCATGCGGCACGCATTCGAGCAGCTGGGTCAGTTTGGCAAGGATGCCAAGGTTGGCATGCCGGAAGTATTGGACCCAGATTCCTTTGATGCAGGAGAAGAACTTTGGGAAGAAGGCTACCAGTATCTTCAGGCAAATAAATAGGATGCTGAATGCTAGGTAGGGCTCACTCTTCAAAGCTTCAATAATTGAGCTTTTCCAAAGCTTCACATGCTGTGTGCTTCCAGTTCGAGCTGCGCTCCATTTCCTTGGACCAAGATATGCAATTGGTTCTTGACCTGCATCAAATTGATCAAACCAAATTAAGCTTTGATGGAACAGATTCAAGAAAGTCAAATTTCAACTTACCTAATTGAGACTATCTAGTGAGTAGTATGTGCTATATGGATATGTCATATTTTACATACATTAAATCATTATTGACCTTTTTATCCATATAATCATAAACTAATGCCATATTGAAGGGGTGGCATTAGAGCCTATTATCTACTTTTCCAGGCAATTGAGAAATGTTTGATTCCTCAGCAAAGCATATTACTGACTTATCACAGAAGAATATCATGAGCTTACAATTATATATCTGCATACATAACGAACATAAAGAAGCTTACCAGTTACAGCAGTGTAAACATTAACTAGCGAGTCAAGCTCCTTAGAACCAACAGGCCAGTACGCATATGGTCCACAAGCTATGAGTATAGAAGGAAAGCTACGGACACCATATCTTGATAAAACACTGCAAGCCATGAAGTAGATATTAGTTAAGACTTTCAAATGATCGCAAAAGATAATTGGAGACTATTGCATAGCCGGGGTCTTACGCTGGCATGGCATTGGTTTGTTCCACAGCCAAGTGCTTAATCCGTGGAAACATTGAGCTAAGATCATCGAAGACTGGCCTCATTCTTTGTGAGAAGGGGCACCACGATGCATAGAAGAGCACGGCAGTGCATTCTTCCTTGCCACTCAACTCCTTGACAAGTTCCTCCCCATTAATCTGCCAAAATTTTCAAAGAGGTCATGTTAAACAACACATGACTAATCCAACTCAGCAGAAGTTGCACAAAAGACCTGCAAGAGCAGAAATTGGGTAGTACGCGTCGCAAATAATCCTAAAAACACAACTGGTTGACTCATAACTGCATAAAACTAGGATGAACTAGCTGTTATATTATATCAGCTTGCCATTTCAACTGCCAGTACTCTACAAGTAGTGTTAACAACCCGCAGTTCCATTTACAAATACCTCTTAACATATTTAAGCCACTAGCCCCAAAACAAACACAAAGCAATTTTTTTTTTGTGACAACCTGATTCAATGTACTGACCAATTTAAGTTCAATGATAGCAATAACTTCAAGTTAGAGCATCCCAAATACAGGCATCTCCATGGTTGCAACTTTTGATCCCCTATTAAATGTTGTTATTCCCACAAGGATTACTGATTTAACAAGAACACTGTTCAGGCATTCCCACTAGGAGGACTACATAACACCATGAGAACAATAAGCTGCAGAAAAGAGGATATACTAATCCCACTCAAATATAGAAAAAATCACAACAACTTTCGGCAAACTGTCACAATGTTGGCACCTGTGAGGCTATAACTAATCAAAGTATGCACAAAAGTTGAAAACAAGATAACCAAAATTAATTTTGAAGGACCCAGAACCGGAAGCACAAAGGAAGCAAGAGCAAGAAACTGATTTGATGCAGGATGAGAGCCTAAGCTTACTACTCCCTACTCGCTACTTTTATTTTGATACTCTTGCGCTGACTTATGACTTGTAATACTAACTAAGCAAGGATTACTTTAGAAATAAAACAAGTTATTTTTCCATAGATTAACGGGACTACGGGAGTCAAATCATCACCAAACCAACTCAGAAACTGAAACAAAAAAAATTCACCACGGGGAGCAATTGTTCATCATGCGGCTCGAATCAGCTCGAGAATTACCCAAAAAAAAGTGAGCTTTTGTACCAAGATTCGCGAGGAGAATTCACCCACAGATTTGTCGGCGCCAAAAAAAATAAAAATAAAAATCAGAGGAACCGCGTAGCAAATCGAATTTTTTTTCCACGCAAAAATCACCAGCATCGAAACGAGAGGAGGAGAAAGAGTGAGATCTTGACCCACCAATCTCCCCGAAAAGAGAGAAAAAAAATCAAACCAAATCTTGCGGCCTTAGCATCAGCAACGCGCGCGCGCACCAACCAACCAAACCCAGAGCCCGGAGAGAAGAAGAGGAATCTCGGAGAAAGAGAGAGAGAGAGACGCACCTCCTCGGCGGGGCACCGCTCCGCCGACGCGCGGCAGGACGGCCGGAGCGCGGCGGCGGCGGCGGCTGCGACGAACGGCGGCAGCCGCTCCCTCGGGCACCGCGCCTCCTCCGGCTCCGCCGCCGCCGCGGGAGGCGGCAAAGGAGCGAGGAGGAGGAGGAGGAGGAGAGGGGCGAGGAGGCGGGCGGCCATGGCGAGGAGGAGGTTGGGGGGAGTGAGGCGCGGAGGAGGAGGAGGAGACGCCGACGCGTGAGATTTCTTGGTTTCTAGAGGTCAGCTTTGCAATTCCTTTATTTTATTTTATTTTTATTGTTTTTCGTTTTGTGTGTGTGTGTTTTTTTTGGGTTCTCTTAGGGCACCCACAATGGTCTTTATAGGCTTTATAAGAGATCCAATGGATCCATGTCAGCATATTTTCTTACTTAGAAGAGATTAAATGAAGAGAGAGAGAGCAAAACTATCTACTAACCTGGAGATAGTCTATAGAGAAAAACGAGACAATGGATTAGAGAGCTATAAATACCCATATAGATATACCATTGAAGTGGTTTACTATTAATCTAGTTTATTACTGAGATGTATATGTTTCATAGATAACATCTTGCAGGTGCTCTTAACGTGGTTGGGTGTTGGAAAGCTTAGTTCTAACAGTTTTTTCTCATGTAGGAGTACTACTCCGTTTTGGGACACACATTTCTCTACCGTACTATACATGTAGTGGGTATCACTGATATATGAATCTTATCTACTCCGAGCTCACATATGTGACACATACTTACATAGTATGAATTATAGGTATTTTGAGGAAGAATCTTCTCGTCGGACGCCCGGTGTAAAAAAAAAAAAATTGGTCGGACCAACGAGTGAAACATCTAAGTTATATATGGTGAAATAAAAAAAACCAGCAACTAAAACATTTAAAACTTTTATGAAACATGGTAAACATACACGTTGAAACATGTTGCTATCACATATGAAACAACTAATGTTAATGAATTGAAACATATATTTTTTTATCAAAATATAATCATGTGATATCTTATTATAAAAAGATTTAATTACAATGGTGATATCAGATCGTAGATTGAATAATTAATTTAGGAAAAAAATCATTTTGAAGCTCGCTAAAATGCATGCATGCATGATGAGGAGAGAGAGAGTAGTGGCAGTTAGTTTCGGGAATTTTGTAAAACACACTGAAGACACATATTGAAACATATAGTGTTAACGGATTGAAACATATATATTTCTTTTGTCATAATATAATCATACGATATCTTCTTATAAAGATTAATTTATAACAGATACAATGGTGCAATCGGATCGTAGATCGGATAAGTAGTTTATGAGAAAAAACATTTTAAAAATAGCTATATGTATGTATTGTTGGAGGAAAAGAGGAAGCAGTAGTACACTACTTCCTCCATCCCATAAAAAACCAATCTAGTACTAGATATGAGACATCATAGTACTACGAATCTGGACATACCTTTGTCTAGATTCATTGTACTAGAATATGTCATATCTAGTCCTAAATTTATTTTTTGGGACGGAGGGAGTAGTTGTTAATACTACACTAGTACCTATCAATAACTCGATGGATCGGCTAACCGATCCGGGACATTCTCCGTATTTTAGAGTTTTTGTGGAAATTGCTGGCCATAGGTCCGCGTATAAGGCACATACATACACATGCATTTTTCTAAAGGAAAAACACACAGTAAAAACATAGATGTTCATATAAGGGTCTGTTTGGTAGAGCTCCAACTCCTAAACTTAGATTCAGGAGTTGAGTCTAGAGCGGCCTAAAACCTAGCTTCATCTCTCTAGTTTATTTTGTGAGAGTGCTTCATCTAGCTCTGTTCCTATTTTAGGTGAAACTGAAACTGTTTGACAGGGCTCCAGCTCCAAGAGAGATGGAGGTGGAGGTGTGCCAAACAGGCCCTAAGCTTGCACGTTCATTTAGGCATCCCTTCAAACACCATGTTAGCCCGTTGAGTAACTTGGAGAGATTAGATTGATATATAAATATAGCATACGCTTTGCTATTGATGGGTATATCGTCTACAGTTGAAAGAATAAGAACCCCTTGAAACAAAGGAAAAAAAATCCTAAGGGATTTGTGTACTACGGAAAATAATCCTATGAAACCCTTTAAAATAAATGAATGACTCCTACCAATTCCATTAAAACTCCTATATAATGAGCTATCTTAGAATAATTTTGAAGTAAAATAGGTATGGGTCTCACCTCATATTTTCTTCTTCCTATATCTGGGCACCCTCAATGTATTACTCCTTGGATTCTAAAGTGCGCCCAGGCATTACATAAGTTAGTCGATGCAGGTTGGGTTTCACTAGTCCCCACTCAATTAGTAGCCATGTGAGAGAGGATTGAGAAATTTTTGTTACTTTTTACTTAAGATTAGGTCTTATACATATGGATATGGATAGTTCATTAAGATTACTATATGGATCACTCCTATAAAGGTGAGACATGCCATATAGAACTATATGGACTTTTCTTTCCATACATTGTTGATATCCTAAGTCTCTACGTTTTTATTATTTTTCAACCAAACACTAGTTTTAAAAAATTATTGTGCTTTGAAATCATATATTAATCCAATGAGTATGATATTTTATTTCTACATTTTTCCTATCGCTGTGTTTTCACAATCATGCATTTTCAAGGGGGTGGGGGTGAGGAGGGGCTAACTAGTTTTAAATATGAGCACTCATGCTAAGTATTTTTAAGGGTTAACGGAAGTTTTATTGCACTTAATCCAATTACATCAATACGATATAATTAATCATCTAAGAATACTTTTTGGCCTTTGCATAACTAAAAGCCAAAACACTACCTATATTTTAGTTTTTATCAAAAGGAAGTACAAGAAATGTTACGGATGATCAATCCTAAAATCAGATCACTACCCATATTCTTGATAAAACATTCATTGACTACCCACTGCAAATGCTGATAGGCCGCCGCGCCATAACCAAATCCTATGTACCCGGTTTCTGAAGAATAACTCAGGTATGAGCGAGTGAATAATTAAATATAGAGTATATAACCAGATAACCTGCAAATGATTTTTTTTTTCAAAAACCACATCGTTGCTGCTTAACCAAAACGAACATATATAATGTATCAGCTGCTCCTAACAAGATGTGATTCGGAAAGCCCAAATCCTGGTGAGCAGATTTAACTATAATGATTTTTTTTTATGTTTTTACTACGGGTAATTTTATTATCTTTAAAAAGGTAACACAGAGGTATCATATTTTTTAATGTAAAATTTGTATCGTTAGATACTTAAGTACCTTAAGGCAGAAAAATTTTAGCGTAAAATTTAGCTACTTCAAAGTATTTTTCTCAAGTACCGTAAAATTCCTTTTTTACTACTCGATCTAGTACTCTGTGAAGCATTGATGGATGAACAATTGTGAATGATATCCTCAGTTAGATGGAAAATGATTGGAGGAAAAAGAGCTAGCTCTTTAGTAATTTGGCATCATAGTTATTTTCTTTATAGTGAATTTATACCATTAATAATAATAAAAAGTATAATTCTTGAACGACTCAGGCTCATTGTGATGTCATTCTAACGTTAGAAAGGTGTTATTTCTCTCCATCGATATGGTTTTCATTGTTTATTTGTTAATAGTGAAAGTCACACTTATACTCGTGGACCACAAGTTGTCATCGATCATAGGACTTTATGGATGTATAGTGTATCTGTATTTGGACCATACTTTATTATACTCCCTCCATCCCTAAATGTTTGACACCGTTGACTTTTTAAAATATGTTTGACCGTTCTTCTCATTCAAACAATTTAAGCAATTATTAATTCTTTTCCTACCATTTGATTCATTGTTAAATATACTTTTATGTATACATATAGTTTTACATATTTCACAAAAGTTTTTGAATAAGACGAACGGTCAAACATGTTTAAAAAAGTCAACGGCGTCAAACATTTAGGGAAGGAGGTAGTATTATAGTACTCCCTCTGTTTCAAAATATTTGACACCGTTGACGTTGACTTTTTAGTACGTGTTTGACTATTCGTCTTATTAAAAAAATTTAAGTAATTATTTATTCTTTTTATATCATTTGATTCATTGTTAAATATACACTGGTGGAGAAACCCTTTGTAGTCCCGGTTCGTAACCCCCCTTTAGTCCCGGTTTCCAAACCGGGAGTACCAATCCGGGACTAAAGATCGCTATCTTTAGTCCCGGGTGAAATAACCGGGAGTAAAGATCGATCTTTAGTCCCGGTTGGTAACACCAACCGGGACTAAAGATGGCTCAGCCACGTGGCCGGCTGAGCCATCTACCAACCGGGACTAAAGATCGAACTGACCTTTTTTTTTTGCATGCCCCTGTTGCTGCATGGTTTATATATATATATATATATATATATATATATATATATATATATATATAAACCATGCATATATATGTTTAAATACATATATATGCATACATATATATATGTATATATATATATATTATATTATATTATATGTATATACATGCATAATATATATGTATTTATACATATATATGTTATGCAAATGCATATGTATATAGATATATATATGAACAAAATATATTTACATTATGGTGATGATTTGGTCTGCAAGGCAGTGGCAATACTCGCACACGTAATAGCCGCACAAGTTAGTTCCCTGCTTTTGCTTTGCGCACTACAAATAAATGACAAACAACGAGAGATCTAATTAATATATACTTGTATGTATTTGAATCGGAGAAATATAAATGTAGAGCATGTGTACTCACAGGAAATTTGAACTTCCGCCTAAGTCTTTCTCTCCATTTGCCGCGGACCAAATGACGGAACCGATACCAAGCCCTACATGGAGTTTAAAGCTATGATTCGTAGTAGCAATTAACATAACAAGATTTTCTTAATTAACAAAGGAACTTATGACGGTACCTGTCTATAAGTTCGAAAACCTTGTCAAACGTAGACTCTTTTTTATCCATTGAGTCATATACGTTGACGGTGCAGGCCTCCAGGTCGATGAGTAAAAGCACCCAGTGGAATCTGCAATGTGCGTGGGATGCATTACATATGAAACACTTAGCAAGTTCGTACGGGAATGAAATTTGGTATGTAGGAAGACAGTAAAATTAAACTAACTCTGTGTTGTATGGCAACAGTATGAACGTCTTGTAATGCTGCGCCTTCAGGAGATGGACGAGATTGTCCTCTGTTTCTTGTGGATATTGGTCGAGCATTGCGACGTTTACT